TAATTTTTTTGCATAGATAACAATGTGCTCTGCTCTACGTTTTTTGCTGTGAAGTTTTAGCAAAATTGCTTCTTTGTACAAGTGAACTATTTTTATTGTCTTTCAGTTTGTCAAAGATTTATTCCAACTGACTTCAGTTGCATGCCATGACTTTCTTCATGACACAGCTTTTCAGTACATTGGCTCCCCCTCCTGTTCATTCGATACAATGAATACACTGCTCAAATATTGCTAGTTAGGAAGTTTCTCAATGGATTTGCTTTTTGGAAGCATATTTTCAAGCCTCACAGGAAAATACTATTTCCTAGGTATCACTATCAAAAGCACAATTGTAACAATTGGTTTAATATATAGTAATAGATGAGCCCAACACAGTGGTGTGTATAGGATAACTAAATACAATGTCATTGTGTAAGGGATTGTTTTTTATTTTTTAAAAAGGCGCTTTCTCAGTGATTTTGAAAAAAAAGATTTTAAACAATGAAACAGAAGGCAATCAAAAAGTATTTAAGTAAAATGATTAACTGGAAACCCTAGCAGACAGAGCTTGACAGAGTTACCAGACTTGTAAATTAAGAAGTACGTTCAGGTAGTAAAGTAAATAAATAAATAAATAAATAAATAAATAAATAAATAAAGTAAGTAAGTAAGTAAGTAAGTAAGTCATTTTCCAGGTCCATGTCATGGAAATATCATGAAAATCTTCAAATCACAGGCAAAGAGCTCTCACAGGTTAAAAGCAGTTATGAGGCACAGTACAAAGATCAAAATAAATGATCATTTCTCAAATACTAAGTATCTTTGGAGTACTGCTACCATTACATTCAGCATTTTTAAGGTGTACATTAGTGAAAAGAAAGGGTATGTGTAGAATTTTGCAGGTAAGGCACAACTTCCCTGTAAATAAATACTTGACAAAAGCATGAACAACTTTTTAGAGTATGTGAAAATTTCATTGATTAAGAAATGTTATAGAAGATAATATTCAGCATTGACCGATGGTAAATTTATAAGCTTGTATTAAGTACTACTTGACAGAAGGAAATGTAAGGTAAATGTAAGGTAATACACTGAGGAGACACAGGCAGGAGTCTGCAAAATGAGGGTGAGAGCAGCAGAAGTGTCAGCAGTGGCAAGGGGGCAGAGGGACATATCTGGAAAAGAGAGAGCAGCAATCCATCAGGACAGGCACAAGGAAGCAAGGGGCTCTGGAAAGCGGTGAGAGGACTGCATCTGTAGCCAGAAATGGGGGAAGATAAGAAGAGTGGGTGCAGGTGTTGCGAAGAACAAACAAGAAAAGATGACAGTAAGGAGCTGTCCTCATTTCAAAATGACACCAGCTTTCCTGAGTCCCTCCCATGGCATTTCACGATCCTTCATCTTCTCTCCTCTACTCTGGCCTGGGGCTGTGCTTATTCACTCAGTCTTCCTCTTCCCACTGAGAGCCTTCCCTTTTAATTACCTGCAGGTCTTGCTGAAGCTCCTTGTCAATGAAGGGATCTGATCCATCCTCACGTGCAGGCACATCCTCATGCAGCCTCCAYGCTCATTCGTCGCTAGTCTTCAGTCTGCGCTTACTGAGACGCCTCTACTTCACTGCCTTCCTGCTGATGCTGGTTGCACTCAGCTTGGGCAGCCTCCCACAACAGAATGTGGACAAGAGAACCTCAGTCCTGGGTTCCCAGTGTAGATGTAGGTGGCACCAACATCTAAAATCCCACGTGTGTGGTACATTTATCCTATTTGTCTGGAAGCATTACATCAGGGAGTGAGCAAAATTGTTCCTCAGCTCCCATGTGGCAGTTCACAGAGGGAAAATTGTGAGATATAGTGCAGGTATAAGTCACATAAAACTTTACCTGCTTTAGTTCACTCTATTAAAAACTTAGAAGTGGAAAAAAAGATCAATAATAGCTCACAGTGGACAGATAAAAGCTGTCAGACAGATATTAAAAAGAAGGTGTCATCACAAATCACTACCAAACGGAATTCACTACTGAACATAAAATTCGTAACAGAGAATTCCTGCAGGGAAACTGAAAGGGTGAGACACTGTTCAGTGTTCCTGTTCAACAGCTTCTGAGTGCTTATGACCCCAGCATTTGCAGCCTGGTAAGATGGGGACAGCACAGTCATATGTATAGTAACATATTTTAATACATGGGGAATGAGAAGATGCRGCTGGAAAGTAGGTGATTCTGAAGCAAACATTGGCCCCCAGTAGGATGCAGTCAACTGTGTTGGTGAGCTGTAAAATCAGTAGGGTAATGACTTCTGATCCCTACTGCCAGGTTATTTTTATCCAAGACTGTTCAAAATAACACACACAAACAGYTTGGAAGGAGCAGCCCTTTTCCCTGCTCCAAGGTACATGTTTTGAACACCGTGSTGTAGATAGCGCTGCTTTTTTTCTGGCCCTCTTTCTGCATAATGACAGTTCCAAAGAGGCAGGGAATGGCTCTTTCCCAGTGCATACGTTCTGCTGGTGGTTAAAGGCGTCTCTTGGTGATCTGTGGTTACGAGTCTGTATCCTGTCACGCGGGCACAATCACGCAGCTCAGGTCTCCTGGGGGAGCACCAACCTGACCCGAGGTATGCCAAAGGTGACAATCATCTTTTCTGTATCATTTCAGATAAAAAGAGCATTCCTGGAAAAAGAAATAAAATAAACCCAGCAAGTACTTACACAAACTTTGAATTATGARCTCATGCAGAAAATCACCTGGAATCATGACTCAGCCATCACAAGACTGGGTAGGGACAAGATTCCACATCCTTCCCCAGGATTAACATTCCCTACTGCTAACTCCAGCCAGTTCCACCCTCAAAATGATCTGGTTTAAAGCTCAGCTCCAGAGTGTTCAGCCCGTATGCAGCAACATGGACACCAGGCCCCAAAGAGTCTAGTCAAAAGCAAATGACTAGACTTCATACAAAAGTAAATGTGTGAATTTTAATGACTCCTCATATTCAGGAGAGACTAGAWTATCTCATAGTTCCTGAAGTATTTAGAGTTTGATTTCTGTTCTCTCCAATGAGAGAAGCACAATGCACCACATCACTTTCAAATCACTGGTACTGTATTTCATACACACAAGAGRTAAATAGTACACGAACATTCTGTAAATATAACTAGATTCTGTTTGCATCCTTTTACCTACAGGAGATACATAACTACACAACTAAGATTTTTTTTTTGAACAAGCAAGCATCCTAGTGTTGCAAAATATGAATTTATACCTATGTATAAAAGGCCTGGTCCTTACTGCTTTACCAAACAAAGGTCAGCCACCATCCTCCTGCTCTGTAAAATCTGAAATCAAACAGTTTGATTCCATGCCCACTCTGGACACTCATCATCCCCTCCARAACAGGCACTTGTGTTCACACAACTGTGCAACTTATCTACCCTTACATTTCAGTATTCTTACACTGCTCATCTGCTAASTAGAAATACTGAAATAACACACTTGACCCATAGTAACTTTTTACTACGGCAAATCTCGTAACCCTTTGCTGTTTAGACTTAAGTATGCATAAATAGATGATTTTTTTCAAGGCTATTACTCACATTAGAAGAACCTCTTCCCCAAAAGGCARAGAAGTATGCACCTCCAGCCTAAAGATCAGTTTTCTCCATCCTCAACAGTACATAGATGCTTTTGTACATAACTCTCTGAGAAATAGACAATATAAATCAAAATAAACCAAGTATATTACTTACTTTGGACGAGGATGACCTTGCTTTCTCTTGAAGCAACTCTTTTCCTAACACTTTCTTTTAAAGCTGCCTGCCTGTGCAGAATCAAAGCCTAAAACCAACTTACCTTACTCCTAAATACTCTTTTCTAGAGCCCTTTCCCTCCTCACCTAAAATAAACAAAAATAACAACTTGAAAGCTATGAGTCTTGTCATAATTCTCTCCATTTGATCCCCTCTTAAGAATCTCAGTCATCACAAAGGCTCCAGAGCTAACAGGTCAAGTYACAGCTTCTACCACCATTACAGCAGAACAAGGGCCGACAAGTTCTGCGTAGCCGCAAGGGTAGCACGATAAACACTACTTGAAAACTGGAACAATTAACTGCCATAGCCCGAAGGTGTCTCTTACAAGGTTTTAGTAAAGAGTAGGTGGTTAGTTTTGTGTCTGCCCTTCCAGCTGCAAAATAAAACAGTTGCCTCCACATTTAATTTAGAAAAGGCAACACAAAACACAAAGGACAACCTTAAGAAAACCTGCTAGTAATCTTAATTCATTTGATAATTCCAAGCAAGCCCTTTGCATTTCATAGAATCATAGAATGCTTAAGGTTGGAAGGGACCTCAGAGGTCATCTAGTCCAACCCCTCTGCACACGCAGGGTCAGCTAGAGCACGTGGCACAGGGCTGCGTCCAAGCGGGTTTTAAAGATCTCCAAAGAAGATTTCAAACACTGAACGTGCCTTTCTACTCTGATTAAGATATTGCCCAACACAAGCTCCTTCAATTCTTCAGCTTCCAAGCAGCTTTAAGTTGTTCCCCCCGCCCAACCTGGGAAGCAGAGCAGAAATAGAATTAAAGACACTGATGGAAGAACCCCCCTTTTCTAGTTCTAGAACAAATTAGAACTCTAGAACTTTTTTCATGCTGAGCTTTTACTTCTGCTCACTGATAACAAAGCCACAAGCCAAACAYGCAGCTTTCCTCTACACTCCCCTTGTTTTTCATTTAATTTCAGACACATGCATCAAATAAGATTTTTTTAATTCTTTAATTTAGTGGTCAGTTTTTGTGCCTTGCTGATGATACATATTAAATACATTCAGCTTAACAATTCCTTTAGCTTGAAGAGATGCAGTTAAAATTTTAAWAATACTGTTTTACACTGTGCGAAACAGAACCTTTGGCATTAATGACATTAGCTATGGACAGGCAAAGAGGAAGACTGTTTCCTTTCAGTTTACCAGTGCATTCACTCCTACTTCCCATCAGCAGAACTTGCTTGTACTAACATTTGACATGTTAGATTAGCTCTTCAGGAACAAGATTTAGTAAGTGCTGAAGAGCAAGCTGAGTGATATCTTCCCAGCAGAATGCAGGTTCTTGTTCCATTTACTAAGCTACGAGCAGCTATTTTTTGAAAAGTTCTTGAACACAGGGTTTCAAAACCTTTAGCTATTTCTGACAYAGTCTCATCCTTAGTGGCACATGTAGCTGCCAAAGCCTGGGTAAACAGGGAACATCCTTCCCCTAGGTAAAAGGGTGGTTTGGTACCACTGCCACTTCACAAGCAATACTCAGTAAATCAGATGAACTCGCATTATCATCCCAAGCTTTAGCCAGATGAATATATACAACCACACATCGCTTTCAGCAGAATTAGAAAAATATGATCTTGTTTGTTATCTTGCAGGCAATGTAAGAAATTATGTGTGTGGAAGCTGACAAAATGCACCCTACTTTTTAAATCTTGGATAGCTGGGCTGCCAAAACTATTATGCAGTTGACAGTGATTTGCTTGATACATTTTACAATGAAAAGGCAGAAAATGTGTTTTTTTTTCTCCATTTAATTCCATGATTAACATTTTATTCATCGCAGTTTACCCAATTACATACGGTTTCCATAAGTTATGGCTGCCAAACAAGCATGTACTTCAACCACCCACTGAAAGTGTCATGTGGTGAGTGGGACAGGTTTTAAGGTTAGACACAGTACATGTAAAAATAGAAAGTTTAAAAACCATCACAGACATTTCCACTGCAATCTCCTTTGTGAAATAAATAAGGCAGCAGAACTTTTACTTAGAAGTGGCATCTTTGAGATATGCTATTAAGTCTACTCTCTCCGACTTCTTCTTAATACCCGCAAAAATCATCTTTGTTCCTGGGATGTACTTCTTCGGGTTTTCCAAGTACTCCATCAGAGTATCCTCTCCCCAGGTGATACCTGGGCAGGAAAGAAAAACAACAGTGACCTTGAAGAACAACAAACAAAATCCTCCATCCCACATTTACTCTCCTGTCCTCTATGTCGTCCACTTTACTTTTAGAGGCAGACTCTTGAAGTGAGGGCTTCCAGAACTACCACTGGAAACTCACATTTGTCCCAAAYGACTCAAAAGAGAGCTTTCAAGTTTACCTTTATTCTTATTAGCATCTGTGTAGGAAAAGCCCTCGGCTTGTCCAGTTTTACGTCCGAAGAGGCCATGCAGGTTGGGTCCGGTCTTGTGCTTGCCTCCCTTTTCAACCGTATGGCACTGGGAGCACTTCTGCACAAAGATCTTCTTGCCCTTCTCAATGTCTCCCATTTTCACCACTAGACCAAGAACCACCACGGTGGTTAGTGTCACCAGCCAAGGTCAACCACTCCACAGCACCTTCAAAGGGCCCACGGGGGTTCACGGGGGGGGGGGGGTTAGGTCAGCCCCTCAATCCAGAGGCTCCCCCGGGTTTCTATCCCAGGATTCGGCTCTGGGCCGGGCCCTGTCACCCCCTGCCCGGGGCACCTCGGGACACGAGGCCACGCGGTGACCCCCCACCCCGCGGGCCCGTTAGGCCGCCCCGGCCTCTCGCGCCTCTCGCGGCCGCGGGGAGCCCAGGCGGGGGCCCAGGCCCTGCCCGGCGCCCCGGGCCTAACGGTGCGGCCGGGCCCCGGTGCGGGGCCGGCGCTCCCTCGCCCGCCGGCCGCTCCACCCGCACCTGCGTGCCCGTGCCCGCCCGCCCCGCTCGCTCGCTCGCTCGCTCGCTCGCTCGCTGCGCGCACAGCGGTCACCGCGTCCCGGCCGCTCTCTCACCGTCCCGCCGGGTGAGCCCAAGGACACGCCGCGCACCGCCCTATGTAGGCCGGTGTCGCCGCAACCAAACCGCGCCGGCACTGGCCCGCCCCCTCCCCGCGCGCAGCAAATCAGCGGCCGCGCTCCGGGCCTCTGGTTGGCTCACGCGTCCACCCGCCAAAATGACGTCACGACGCCGGCGGCTAAGAGGTTAGGTTGTGGCGAGGTGCCGCCGGGTGCCTTTCCCCTCCCCCACGCCTCCTCGCGGAACTACGTCGGACGTGACGCCATGCGTCAGGGGGCACGTGCTCAGGGAGGGCGGCGTGCGCATGCGCACATRGGAACGCGAAGCAAAGGTCGCACGCGGCCCAGTGGAGGCGGTGCCCGGTCCGTGACGTCACGGRGCGCCCCGCCCCCAGCGCGGCGCTAACGGCCGTTGCCGCGCGCCCCCGGTGGTGCCCCCCCCCTTCTGGCACCTTCCGAGGGGAAGGGTGCTGGGAGGGCGCCGCGTTCCTCCTGTTAGCGTTCTCCGCCCCTGCTTTAAGGCTCTTGGATCTGAAAGGGGTGTTTAAGAAACTGGAGAATAAAGTGAAGGAAATGTAGCAGTTAGCAAAGGTTGATAAAATACCGCAAACTTAAGGAAGGTAAAAGCATTACGGGTGGTGCCACCATAAAGAACTGAAGTGGAGGCAAAAACACACCTGGATCGTAGATCTCATGTAGRATACTAACGCATTTTAGTTTTAAATAAAGCAGGTGTATCACTTAAGTGACCCTGAAGTCACAGAGAGAGGCACAAAAGAGGAAGGTGCCCCGGATACCTTCCTGGCAAGCTGGAAAGTGTTGTGTAGACCGAGAAAAAACACCGGCACCAATAAATGACAAGTGTTGAAAAGAGGATTTGAATGTTGAGCTTCGGATGTGACCACCATCATCTCTCTGTCCTTTACAAAGAGGATGAAGAGCTCTTGGGAAATCCCGTGCAATAAAGTCCAAAGTGGCCAAAAGGCAGAAGGTCACAACAGGTGAACGATTTTTCCCGGACTAGTGACATTAAAAAATGGCATCTTTTCTCGGAAGGGAAGAGTGTCCCAGAAGCAGAGGCCATRCATTTGAGCAGGGGTGGCGTCTCGTGCCCTCTCGTGCTGCGCCAGCGCTGCCGTGGTCTGCAGAGCTGGGCGGCTGCTCCGCCTGCAGTGCCTCTGTGGAGAGTCAAGGAGAAGGATGGAGTGAAAGCACTGACGGTTCTTCCGATGCCAACCTTTTGSTGGCAGTTTAAAAGACTATTCAGCCAGTTATCCTCTCTGATACGTAAAATACAGGTTTTTTGTGCTGCTGATGTCTCCAGCATCCAACAGATGAGCTTGTCCAGTTACACTTCATCACAAGGTATACGCATAATACGATATTAAACTACAAAAATTACCCTATATGCATTGACTATAAACTCACTTCGTGAGTACAAACTTACTATCATAAAACTATTTTGCTTACAATATATAGTTCATATACTTTATAGTTTATATAGTTTATAGTTTATATAGTTTATATAGTTTATATAGTTTATAGTTTATATAGTTTATATAGTTTATATAGTTTATAGTTTATATAGTTTATAGTTTATAGTTTATATAGTTCATATACTTTATAGTTCATATACTTTATGGTGAGCTAGATAGTATGTGTGTAACTGAATCTGTATAAATAGGCATCTTAACTTCTGCTTCTCCCAAACTGCAATCCTGCCACAGAAGTACCCGCAGGGTATTCTCACCAGTGGAGAGATGGGATTCCTCCGTGAAGGGACCTTCCTCTTGTACTTCTGCTACCTGTTGTACTGAGTTTTTGAGACACTGGTAACCAAGTAATCACCCAGTAGCTTTAGAGGAAGCTTTAGAACCAGGTTTTAACATCCCAGGTGTACTCACTGCCCATTTTGCAATATGCCTCGAGGAATGCAGCAGGTCTTGGAACAGATGGGKGGCTCACTGCTCTGTCCCACTGTGGCCATGCTAGATGCTTCACAGTCTCACAAAACTGCCCATGATGAGCTCATATCATAGCACTGACAGCATTTATCCAAACTACTAGGATTGCAAATTTGTTCTTAGGCTGCTAAGATTTGTCTCTACTTCTTTTTAAATGTTACTAAGTTGTCTGCCTTAATTGTACCCCAAACAGAATACTGAACAGGTARATTAAAATATACTTCCTGAGTTCCTTGCTTTATCTGAATAATTTGATCAAACAAAATGTTCTAGATTTTTTTTCTTAATGGAACTTACAGATACAGGATGTAAAAGATAGAACTTTTCTTTAGTGACTGTATTACATGCTTATTGCTAAATAATAGTCTTTTGTTTTTGCGAAATGTCAAAGTCAGCCRTCATGTATCTTTCTTGAGGTGTGTTCAGTCTCCTGATTTTAAAACTTGTTATTCTTTTCCAAACTTTTATAACTACAATTTGAGCAGAAAWCTAGGCTTATTTTAAAATAAGGATATGATGGGTTACGGTGAGATCTGAGGGTGAGAACCCTCTCCAAAGGGGATACAAAATCTCTGACTCCTGTCCCACAGTGCTCTGTTGGGGCCCTGTCTCCCAGCGAGACTTCTGAAGATCTCACATGTAAAATGATCAGTCGTTTGGGTTTCTGCAGTGATTCTTTGCTAGAATCTCTTCCAGGAAATGCAGTGGATAATGACTTGTTAGAAGGGCAGTTCTGTTTAAGTCGTATGTGTGATGTGACTGTGATCCTGGCAGCCTCTTGAACTGTGGAAAATTGCTTGGAAGGAGAGGGGAAAATGGTGATCTCTTAGTGGACATCTTAGGAGACGTGCAGTGAAGAAASTGTCAGAGCTGCAGCGTTGGTTTGCTCCCCTCTCAGGTCTTCTCTGGGAAACATTTGAATTCAAGTAACAATCTAAGTAAGAAAGACTAAGATCTAAGTAAGTAAGTAAGTATCTTAAGTAAGAAAGATCTAAGTAAGTTTCTAAGCTGAAATTAGCTGAAACCAGCTAATTCAATTAACCAGCTTCATTCAAATAGCCAGCCAAGAAAGAATAAATGGCCATGTCATGTTTCTGCCTCTAATCCCTATTTAACTTCTAGTTTCTTAAGATACTAATTAAACCAATATTAGTTATGTTGATCATTTGGCACACTGAAAATAGCAATTTAAACGTATTCTTTGTGTTCTTTGGGCAAAGCCATTGTTAACGCACTGATTTTTCCTTAGTGGCTTTCCTGCCTTCAAGTGGCTTTGCAGACATGATTTCGGATGTTTAAAAGTATTGTATTTGGTGATTTCTTTTCACACTATTTGGGAATCTGACTTTAGGAAGCACAACACAGCAGCAGAGCTGTTCTGTTGTTATCTCTTGGTTTTCTTAACTATTTTTGTAACCACCAACTTAATTCCCATTTCTCATCCTTAGCTACTGTATTGGTACCCACTTCTCATCCTTAGCTACTATATTGGCACTTGCAGCCCTCTCAAGCTAACTGCCAATAACAAATTGCATGTTTTCTACAGCTTAGCTGCTTCATTCTAAAGCTCTTTTGAAGTCCTGCAGGGAATGCTAAAACCCATGCAACCTACACCAGGTTTCAGTCTGTAGTGCTCATTCTTGAACTCATTTGGCTCTTAATAAACTAATTCCTTCCCCAGTGTTTGTTCCACTGATGTGTTTCTCAAGAACATCATAATTCCACAGCCTTTAAGCCAACCAAGATAAGATGCTCTTGTCCCGGCTTTTCAAATAGGCTGCACATATCCCAGGCTGCTCTTCTTTTTACCTGCTCCAATTTGAATTTATCTTTGTTCTCCAGGAAAGGATATACAAGTTGTACTGAAGTACTTTTTATTTATTAATCTATTCTTCAAGACCAAAGCAATGCGTCAGTTGTAGAAATAAAAAGAATTGAAACCATAGAATTTGTGTCTCCTTCCCTCAGCAGCATTATCTCTGAGGTCTTTTGTCTCTCCTTTAATAGAATCATGAAAACGTTTGTGTGCTGCYGACTTGGAGAAGGAATCCTGCAGCTGCAGCAACGCGGTCGGCTGCTGAGGAGCCTCGTAGCTGGGGATGCGTTGGGGCAGCGCCGCGCTTCGTGTGCAGGCCTCTGACGTCCAGGGAGGCTGGCTCGCTTCCTGATGCCAAAGCTCACGCATGGAAGTTGCACTTCTCTCGCTCTTCACAGCCAGTGGTAGACTGGGCACATGTAGATAGTCATCTGGGTYGTTCCATACTATGTATTCTCTATATTGTCCCAGATGGCAAGGCTTCAAATCTTTATAGGAAAGGGAACATCCAGATTCAAGTTCAGGCCTTCCTATAAGTTGCCTCTTGTACAATTCTTCTGTTTGCTGCGTGTCAGTGACTTTGCGAAATGTATTGGCTGCGGGCCTGGCATCCACGTAGCCGTCCCTCTGGTAACATACCTGAGACAGATGAGCCTGCCCTTGGCTCACATCCCATTGCTGAGCTGTGTTTTCTGTCACTTTGCACTGCGGACTGGCGGTTGCATTTAATTTCCTCAGCGCTGTGTCTGAGTAGCTGGGCAAAATGGGATGGACAGCGTGTAAAGGTGGAGGCACGTGGCCGTGGGAGGCGTGCGGTTCCTGCACAGCTGATGCATGGGGCCGTTGACCTTGGAGTAAACGTGCGGTGCGTCCCTGGAGAGGCCTCACTTGGGAAGGGCAAGGCAGAAATGTTTCTTTCTGATGGGGGAAGGAACAAAATTAACACTCTCATCGGAGACCCCTGCTTTAGCAGGGATTGGTGCAACCATTGTCTGCAACTAGTGACATGGATCTACCCTTAGTACTGCACGTTGTGGAAAAGGAAGGAAGCAGCACACCTGGGAACTTGGGACAAGTGTTGCACCAGGGCACTCCTGGGCCCTGCTTCTCTCTGACAGCACACAAAATAGATGCTGGCAAAGGCGGGCAGCCCACACATAGCCCACAGTGTCCAATATATATTTGTATAGCCAGGATATGTGTATGGACTTTAGATTTAATCTTTATGCTTTGAAAAAGACAAAATACTCAGCCCATCTCTAGGTGCAAGCTACAAATGGGTAGAAATGCCCCGTGCCACCTGCTCCTTTCTTCTGAACACATCTGCCTTCCATTTTGTGATCCCTTACGCTGTGTGACAGTACACAAGATGACTTGCATTACTGTATATTGAAATTTCTGTACTGTAGCAAGTGGAACTAAGGGGGCTCACTGGCCTGTGGCCTGTTAGCTCCTCAGTCACAGTTGGATTCACTGCTTGAGTACTGTTATCCTGTCTTAATCATTTTGGGGGTTAATGCTGTGGATAACAGCACAGAGTCAAAGCAACATTGTACTACGAAGGACCCAAACAAAGTAAGTCAGAGCTACAGCCAAAGAACTGTCAGTCAGGAGGTTACTTTGCTGKKTTTTTTATATTAAATGTATGTGTCTTTAAATGGGATGATACTGCTCAGATAAAACAGCATGGCCCAGGGTAGGCCTTTTCCAGTCATGCTTTGGAAGCTAGAGGGCAATAAGGCTGGTTTGTTTTGAATTAAAATAAGCTGCTGCTTTGGATTTTCTTTTCCAGGAGGAAACAGGGTGAGCTGTTGAAAGTGTTCTTTAGTGTCCATTAGCATAAAGTAAAACATTTGCTCCTTCACYACACGGGACAGAAAGTCAGGCAGCTTTTCCACTTCAGATACGGAGTTTCAATTATAAAAAAAATCTGCAAATACCCCTTTAAAGGAATTCCATTACTTTTTTAAAAAAAGACCAGTAGAAAGAAAAAGCAGGACAGTTTTGCTACTTTTCATCGAGGAGTTTTCTGGTGTATAACTACGAGAACTGTTACTTAGCTGCCCCGCATCTTGTTTATTTTGCAATCCAACCTGAGGGCATTAGAGGCAAAGAAGCCTGAACCTGTGTGCTGCTAAGCCAGCAGTGCTGTGGAAGGCTGAGTGGAATCCACTCCTGCTTTATGTGCAGAATTGTTTATTCAGTTACAGTCAATTAAATTTGTCTATATACTGTGCATGACAAGGCACAGGTGTCGCTGAAAAGGCTTGAGACATAAGCAGTGATCCAGGTGCAAAAAGCAGCTCGGCTGGCTTTGCTGTGCTTATATAGGAGGTAAGGCTTTACTTGCACCTGTGGTGTTTAAGAAAAAGAATATGTTTTCAGTTTTCTACAGCCCACACTKAGCATCAGAATAGCTGAAGACAATAAGCATGAAGTTTTATGTTCCTCAGAGCAGCTGGGCATTAAAACAGAAAGCGTTGTCTTTAAGTAACTGCATGTTACTRATGCACCCTTAAGGGAAAACAGCAAACCGCTCATGTGAATAGAGGAGGATGGATTGAAGATACACGGTGCCACGCTTGATAAGGTGGTCACAGCTTGCTGTGGTACCAGAGCTTTTATGAAATGAGGCAATGTGCCCTGAAGACAGCAAGGTGATGGCTGGGATGAGGCTGGTCACACCAGCTCAACGTTTGCCCAATGTTTCAGTCTCCGCAGCTGACAAATCGCTTTATGGAAATGATTACTCATACTTTACAAGGCAAATTGCCCTTTAATTGCTGTCATTTGTTGGTGGCAACTTTAAAAGATAAGATTAAAAAGAAGCAGATAATCACAATAACCTCCTGCCAGACTTGGAACAAGTCACTAATGCATTACAAAAAAATCTGTCAATGAGCTGTGTCAGGATTGATCTGCTATGCTGAACTTCTGTCTGTTTTAGACCAAGCTGCGCTTCTGTATTACCAGAGAGAAAGCTCAATTCTGCTAGCTGTGTCTGCGAGTGTCCTTCTAGTCATACTTGTGGCAGAAGCATCAAATTCGCAGTAACTGCAGTACTTACAAGTTCCACGTTTTCTAGTTCTCGCAGTAATCTGTCAAGTGCCTTCATGTCATAGTCATCCAGGTTAAGGGGATTCATAGGACCTCTGCCTTAATGGAGACATATTTTATTGTCACACATTCTTCCTATGAGAATGGTCAGTCACGCAGAGGCAAATCTCAGCTAACTTACAGCTTTTGTAATCTTTATTCCTAAAGGACTAAAAATGAATTTTCTAGAGAGCACTATGTGCTGATATTATGTGGTCTTTCACTGTTACCTCCGGTAAATTATTTTAACRAAAAATGCCTACCAGTGAAGTCTCGACTATATGTTGTGATCCACTGAGCCCTTTCACAGTTTCGTAGCATATTGGCTGTTCTGGGAGAGAGGTTGTGTCCTAGCTCTTCAAAAGTGGAATTAGGAGCTACTGTCTTTGGTGGTTTGGGATAGTATCTTTGACCCTTTTGCTCAGCAAACTTAGGAACCTGGGGGATAAAAAGAAATACGTAAAGTGTAAACTAAACGTGTTTTGGATAAAAATATTGCTTTAAAGTTTTGAAATAAACCCTCTAGAAATTATCTGTTTAGAAAAGATTAATAAAATTGTGGTGGAAAAATATTTTAAATACTTCATGCTACCCACTGGAAGGTTGAACACAATAAAAATAATTTGGAATAAAGTTCTCCTTAACAGCAGCTAGGCAGAACATTGCCCAGTATGTATTCTTCCTTTTGCAGTCATACTAACAACTGCCATTTAGTTCCATCACACATCTGTCAGGCTGTGTCTAAAAAAGGCAGTATCTGTGTCTTTATCTCTGGCTTTCCCTGCAGTTTTCATTACTTTGATCTGACATCAGACTGTAGGCTAGATCCCTTTGGGATGTGAATTGGTTTTTAACCAAGCTGAAGAAGAGTAGCAACGTGGCCATTCATCAACACATCTACATTTCTGCTTTATGGACAGACTGGCCCAGCCCTTCCACACCTCAGGTACGTAAGGTGCATTTCCTTCAAGACACGGAAAGAGAGAGACCAGCCTGGCTGTAGGATGGCAGGACTTGCGGAGAGTCRAAGATGGGCACAGACCTGCTGCTGCCTAAGCCCATGTCTGTGAAACACAGCAAGCCTCATCTGGACTTCTGAAGGGAGGAGCCCCTGTCCTGGATATGGTCAGTGGCCATTTTTGCTGTTTTCTTATGTTGTTTCTTATCTCCACAGCTACTTAGCTAGGTCCTAGAAGACACAGTTAGTCTTTAAATTAAAAGACCTTCATCACAGGACTGCTTGTTAGCTTCTGGTCTTGTTTATATAACATGGAGGTGGATATTGTGCTCTCGTAAGTCCTTTGCTCTTTGTGTGAAATCTTAACTCCTGAATTGCAAATGTTTGGCACAATATAGTACTTTGGGGTGTAAAATTGCCCCCCCCCCCCGTGAAAGACAGTCAGGTTTGATTAAGATAACAACAAAAGGAGTGGCTTTTGCTCTGCCCTACAAACCACATACATGAAAGTACGTGTKCTGTCCTGGCCAATGCAGAGCCTCCTTCTCGGAGTCAGAGGGAATACTGACGATCTCGTGCCTATACGGATTACCTGCAGCAGAAATATTTAACATATTCCAATGCAACACTATTGATTAGAATGACAGGAGGATCTGCGTTTTAAGCTGTAGACTTATGCTCACTATGTGGGCAGTTGTGTTGGTGGAAGAGGCAACTTCTGTGAGCTGCTGATTGTATCCTTGCTGCTGTGGGAGCCTGACCTCACGGACCTGCAGGCAGAGATCTTCAGCACTCTTGGGGCACTAAATCAGCAGGGTTAGCCCAGGTCACTCATTTAATCATCTGAAGTTAAGTGCACTGCCTTTCTGGAAGCTCTCAGGCAAGTATCTCCAGCAGCGGATCTGCAGGGTCAGTTGTCTGGGGCAGAGAGGCAGTGACAAGCGGCCGAGGGCTGAATCCCTGAACACTCTTGATTCTACAGAGGGTCACTTGCCATGACTCACGGCAGGGGATCTGGATTGATCCAAACAGAGGCTAGGAATTCTTGTTGCATTTTGTGTGCATGTTTTTTTACAAACAACAACAACACAGATTAATAAGGTTTGATTGATTGTGAAGGTGGCTCTGTGCCTGTAAAGTCACCTTTTGGGGAGTAATTGGGCACCTGTAGGTGTCTAAAAAATGAGACTGCGGAGCATACTACAAAGAGCTTCATTTATAATCCAAGCTCTGTCACAGCTTTTTTTCTTCAGCTTTTCTACCTCAGTTACTCTATATACCTCACAGTGATGCTGCCAGGATTAACTACATAATGGGTATCCTGAACTCGGTAGGGTAAAATTTAGAAAGGCACRACATTTTTAAACATACCCTTCTGATGGGAAAATTACCTGGATGTGATCTGGGTTGTCTGGACTTAACAAGAGATTTCTCACCTCAGTCACAGAGCCTGTGAGTATCCTGGTCTCAGAGGAAGTCAAACCATATGGAGGGGATAGCAAATGAAGCTCAGGTACTTTCTAATTGTCAGCTGTAGGTGCCCCTTAAGCTATTAATTCTCAACTTGATAAGCTTTGCTGGGAATAGATCATGGCCTCCAGTGATCCTCGTGTCGTGCAAGAATGGCTTTGCAAGCCCAACTCCATGTGTGATGTCTGTTACTTGTATTAAACAATAATCAGTGAAAGCAACTAAAAATTACTACTTCTAGCATATTCCGTGGATTTGGGTTTCTGATGGATGGAAAACTGCTCATTTACACAACTAAACCCATTACTGTACAGCACTGTGGTGATGGCTGGGAATGACAGCTAACTAATGCAGACTGACATCCTGCTTGACATTATCAGCTTTTACTGTACTGAAAGCTTCTTATTCACAGCAGCATATGCTTTTTTTTTTTTTCCTTTTTTTTTTTTTAATATACATAGTTATTGTCAAGTCCCTGCCTGGCAAGCACTGCCATGACAAACTGAGGTGCTGGCTGACATCTTCTTGCACCCTGAGCCCTGGTGCTGTGAAGCGAGCTCCTGCTTCCTCCTGTCCCAAACACCTAAGAAGCCTGTGGGGGAAACAGCCGTCAAGAGCTGTTTCAAGGTGCTCATCGGTTCATGCAGGTGACCTGCAGGGTCTTCCAAAATAAATACCTTGCGAAAACACAACACAGATGACTGCGTCTCGGGAAAAACGGACCAAGACCAAGACCCTCATGCTCTTTTCCTGCCATTCTCAGAGCCAAATGGCATTAAATGGGAGTGATGACTCTAGGGTATGCTGAAACTCAGTGTTGAATACTGCTTTATTCTGCATTAATTTTCTAGCAAAAAAAAGTCACCTTGCTAGAGTTAAAAACAAATACTTCAGTGATGGTTTATATGGTAATCTGAATATAATGAATGTCTCAGGCTTCATCTCAGCTTCATGAGGGCTAAACAGGGTTGTTTTGTCACTCTGGAGCTTGTTCTACCATTTGTGTAGTGATTAAATATTTGTAATCATTCAGATCCCATTACAAGGTACTTCTGTTATCCTCAGTGGATTTATGTCAGCCATAAATCTTTGAACTGCAAGTTTTTGGTTCCTCAAATGCATTTTTTTTCTTTTCCTTGCTGCTCCTCAGGACTATGAAGAGTTATTTGCCTGACCAGAGACATCAGGCTGAATGATGCACCTTGACTTTTAAAGGAAATAACAGCCAGCCTAGTGGCTCCATTGGCTCCCGAAGCGCTGCAAGGTGCTCACATGAGATAGGGATTAAATCAGGATTCTCAGGGCCCAGGTATCCCCCTACACTGAGGACGCAGTTTGCAGCTGGAAAGCTCCAGTTTAAATCCATGTGCTTAGCTTGACCTCTCATAATGCTTAATTTCTGGTTTTGTTTCATTTTAAAGGAGAGACTTCAGTAATGTTTCTAACTAAGTATCAAGAATAAGCACCAAACCATCCAAATACTCTCTTACCTTTGATCTTCCTCAGAACAACCACATCAAAAGCCTTGGCAGGGATATTGGGATGCAGAGGCCGACGATGGCTTGCCTCAACACCAGTGTATGGATCCTCAGGAGATCGGAAGTTTGGAAACATGGCATACCTTGAGATGTGCGTCTGGTAGGGGTGGGAGGTGGGAAAGGGCAGCCACAGTGGTCTTGGTTTGTTGGGGTTTCACAAAGGGCAGAAAAAAAMCAAAAATGTCATTATTTTACATTTGACAGAAATTGAGCATTTAAGCTTACACTCTGCAGGAACCACAACAAGACCAGCAGAAAAACCTTAGTTCCTCGGTCCTTTTGCTGGCACCCAGCAAGGAATTCCCAATGATCTCTGCCTGCTTATCCATGAATGACCTACCTCTTTCACTACATAGAAGAGAGTCACTGTGTGTGTTTTGCAGCTTTGAGAACTGGTCACCTGCATCCCTGGCACCCCATAGGCTACTGTCTCTTGGCCAGACTCTRGTGAAATGTGGTATATGTTGAATTCCAAATTTCTTTTTGAAGTTTTAAGATGGATCCAAGTCAGACTCAAGAAAGGATGCCTCAGTATCAAACCTCAGATGCAAGTAAAGATGTTGGTTTCTATCTTCACAATCATCCCAGTAGCCACAGTTACATGTGAAGACAGCTTGCAGAAMAACACTTTTCTGAGGAGTCTATCACAAACTGTACTGGATATCATCATATTCAGGGATTTCCTCTGGCTTTAAAGGAATAAAGGAATTGGGAGGCTCTGTGGAGAGAGGCTCTGTGCAGCAATAAATTGCTCCAGGACTTCCAAGGAAAAGTATTTCCTGTAGACACTGGAGTTGAGAGAAATGAAGGGAGAAGTAAACCAAGATTGTCATGAGGAACAGTATGAAGAAGAGAACGGGAAAAATAACTGGTGGAGAAAATCCATCAAAACAGAAACAGTCTGCAGCCTTGAGAAAAGCCGATTTGTGGTTTAGAAAGGATCAAAAAAGGATAGCAGGTGCAGTCAGATGAATTTCAAAGGAACAYTGACACTACCTGCGGAGCGGCACGAAGGGCTGCGGCAGAGAGCAGCAGCAGGCGCGGAGGCCGCACGCACCGCTGCGCAATTCCCGTGCTCTACAGAAGGCTGTAGTATCTCTAGGTGTGAGTCATGCTGGGTGTGCTTTGCTCTGGCACACACCATGTCCTCCATGGCAGAAACAAACTTTGACCCTTCAGATCGAATTATTTTAAACAAATCTGGGGCTCAGTTGAACGAAACTCCAAAGCAGTGCACATTAATATTCATATGGGGATTTAATGTCATTGCATCAGAGCATTGGTTGCTCTTCATGTAAAAATAGAATAATTAACTGTCCTGCTAGATCAGCATCTAACTTCAATCACTCTGGTGGCTGCCAACCTTTTATCACTGCAAGATAGTCAAATATAAATGGTGCTTGCTTACAGATACTCAAATGAGTAGCCAAAGGCAAATGAGAGCCAAAGGGCAAATGAGGACTTGCAGATTTATTGGCTGTGTTGTTCCTTAGCAAGGAAAGAACTGTGGCTTTTGTACGTAATGGGTCATAGCTACTCATGTTTACTTTTATGTGGCTTAAGGAAAGGGAAATGTGGATTTCTTATTCTTGCACAGCTCCAGTTAATAACAATTGCTAAATCAAAAATTTGCCCCTGAAAAGACATTTATTTCTGTGAGGAAGGAGAGTAAAGCCAAAATGGAGCTTTATGGGATGCTGAGAACTGGTATTTCATGGGGAGTGTCCACATTGCTGTGGCTGTGCTTTCCACTTTTGCTTTTTTCTTGATGAAATCATTCAATAATTAATATACTGAAATGGCAAAGACCTTCCAAAATGAAAATGAAACGGTAGGTTATTCCAGTGATAGGGAATAGCACCCACCCCATCTTGATCCTTCTAAATTTTCCATGACTGTGTGTAGCAACTTACTGAGAGCCAATGCCTTCCTCCAACTGCTGTAGAAAGCAAAACCAAAAGCACCTCCAACTCCTGTGTGCATCACGAGGTAACAACGTGTCTCTCCAACCTGCACTTTTACTAGGCTTCTGTCCCATTAATCTGCTGTATGCCCTATCTGCGCTCCCAAATGCTCCAGGTCCTGTCATGTAGATAAGTTTTACCCAGGTGAGCCGGGAAACTCGCTCAGCCCGTAGGATGGGTGCGTTGGGCACTGCTGACACTAACCCGGGCAGCACGGAGAGTTTAGTAACTCTGCTGCTGCTTATGGGCCAGGAACCTCCCGCCAGTGCAGAGGCTCTAAGGGAAAACACCTCCCTTTTGTAGTTCATAAAGACACGGTACAGTATAAGTGAACGGTACTTACCTAGCCAAACTGCCTGGCGGCTTATGAAGCCTAGAGTAGAGAAGAAAAAKATAAAGTCATTGGAAATCCCATGTACGTTTGCACCTCCCACACTTAATCTGAAGCAATGCCATCAATTTACATTAGAAACAAATCAATGTGTAAGCAGTGCACACCATATCCTTACTGATGCCGCTCATTCAGAGAGAAATGCTCTATTTTGCCAAGTGCCAAGGCTGAAAAGGCTCCTGGAACCAGTGATGCAAGGAAAACTTTCTGAAAATACATTTTCCCTCTTCCATTTCTGTGTAATGTGCTCTCTGGTAATAAACAACTGCATGCACTACTTAAAAAAGAAATCTTTTTTATCAGTAATATAAAACAAAATATATCATCCTAGTCATACAGAAAGTATTAATTCATTCCATGCTTCTAATTTTTTTTTTTTATTTTCTATCTGGAGACTTATTTGATGTTGATTCAAATACATTTTAAGAAAGCAATCAAAGGAGTACATGAACTCTAAAGGACAAAAAAAAAAAAATCATAAATGAGGCTAGCTAAGAATCTCTTGGCAATTACATCAAGCCAGAAAAATGTCTAAGAGTTAAAAAAATACAATTTGCTGTAGTGGTTCTTTACAGTATGAGGAAAAAAAGAGAAAAAAATGTTTGAATGATAATTGTATGATCTGATATAGAAATTAAGTGGTTTATGAGGAGCTCCRAAATCTCATGTGTTTGGTGAAGACTAAATTGCTAGGTATTGCTTGAAAGTCCCTTTGCATCGTATAGATGGGAAAGTTTGCATCATAATAATCTGTTATTATTATTGTTATTATTGTCCTCTATTATTTCTTGGTTATATGAATGTTTCTAATTGTACAAGGCATATATGGATATATGGAGACTATATCTTGGCCTCCGTATGGCCTAGAGCCCTAACATTTCTTAGTGAGGCGAGAGATGCCCAAGATTCCTTCCCAAGCAGGAGAAGGTGGTAACTTCTCCGGGTTTCCACTGCTGAGTTTGAGGACAGAGCTGTGTGGGATGTGTTTGGGCTGCACAGGGACTCTGTCGATAATTTCAGCCTCGGCTGTCCCTGGAGGAATGGGATTCCCTGGGGGAACGGGGTTATCTGGGCTGGCTGGGTTGGCTGGCATAGCCGTGGCCAAGGAGTGACRCCCAACCTGTGCTCAGGCCTTCTGTGGCTCAGAGCTGCTGCTTGGCCGCTCTGTCATTGGACTCCATAAAAGCAGAGGTTGTACAAGGACAGCGAGGAACCATTGCCCCATTCTCAAAAAGCTTCGATGCTGGCCTGGTCTCATCCATTTCCACACTGTCACCGGTGTTTTAATGAGTTACATATGTAAGCTCAGTTTTGTTCAAACCCTAATACATCATGCAAAAGTAACATGTTTCACTGCAAAATGTATTTTATCACAAGTGAAGTGGTGGGACTTCTTAGTGCGATCACTGTAGGGAGTCATATCTCAGACTACAATGCAGAAAAATACCTCATGGCTCTACTGAGCTGAACAAGAGATCTTTTTTTCCTGTTGATATGTGATGCTATAAAAATATCGAGCATCAGGTTCTGACACCTATTTACATGCTGTTCTGTTTGTAATGACCTGGAGCTCAGGCTCAGGTGGTGGCTGTCTTGAAAAATGAAAGCCCGTACCAAAGTAGCCACACTTAGAGAAAAGCAATCTTTAAGAGTATATATTTTTTTAAGAATATATTTTAAGAGTATACTTTGAATTGGTTTCCCATTTCTGCAGTTAGAGCAGAAATTGTCTGGGGCTGTAGATGAAAGATTGAAGAAAAATGCCTAGTGTTTATTCTCCTCTTACTCACATGGCATTGGAATGCATTCCCTGTGCATTCTGCAGTGCATGTATTCCTGATAAAAACATGCCAGTATAAGGAGAATCAGTCTCCTTTGTGCTGGAGCATGAGAGAATTAGTTATGTACCTTTATGGAGCACTTTTCATTGTAATACCTGCATTGAAGGCAGTGGTCAATAGCAGAAGCGTACACTTCCATGACTACTGTGGTCTGGAGGGGGTTTGGGAGCTCAGGTTGTACTAGCCTGCAGTAGTTCTGTGTCCCTCCTCTTGGTGTAGTGCAAACCAGTGGGTGCAAAGCCTGAGCAGCTCCGAAATGCCAATAAAAGACACGCTAAATGTGTGGGACCCTCTTCAGGGCGGCAGCTGCCCCCAGGCTGGSTGCTGCCAGGCCCAGGGGAGGTGCCTCCACACAGCCCAGCTCTGGGTGTGGTGCACGGAGCTGCGCGGCCTCCAGCTCCTCGAGATTAGGCCAAGAAACTTTTCATTGTTTTTTTTTTTTTTTTCTCTTTTAGTTGCCCATGTACTCTGAAAATTATTAAGAAAACAAGATTTATTGCTCTTGCCAACTTCAACAGGAAGAAAGTTGCTATTGGAGAATAAAACATGTTTCGCGTCTGTAAATTGGCTTTCTTTGCTGCCCTTGATTCCTGCAAAAGGAAGAAATCACTTATCTTGCCTAACCTTAAAACCTAACCTGCCTGGTCAGGGAGCCGCAGGTCAGGGAGCCAGGGATGAGGGAGCTGGGGGAAAGCCAGAGGAAGGGCAATGCTATGTCATATGGTAAGCTGGAGAAAAGATTAAAACCTACACAGAAAACAACACTATTTATTCATCTGCTCTGTCACTTAAACCACCCAGAAGTTCCTTGGGATGACTTGCCTTTGCAAGGAGAGCTACAAACAGTGTAGCTTGATGTGGAACTATGGAGTGTGTGTGGAAGGAGATGGTTAATGTGAGCTGGTTAATGTGAGCTCCTCCAAATGGCAGCAAAGGCCTTTCAGGCTTGTTGTGGCCTTGCTTGATCCCTTTGGATCAAATGCGCTTTGGAGGGCGCTTTACACCTTCCTTTGGGTGGAAAGAGGGGGTTGTGTTTCTCTMTTTAGGACTTTTGAGTGGCAGGGAAGATTTGGCCCACTGCTAATGCACTTACAGAAGTAGGTGTGTATGAGGCAAATRTATGTGGTGTGCATACTTAAGATAGAATTAACCCATGGAGAGTATAGAGTTATTGCAAATGCCTGGTAATTCATTTCCCATAAAAGACTAATGGAGGCCTTAAAGGAAGCCTCACAGGCTCCGAGGTAAATAAAGAGAGTGATAATAGYTTCCAAGGAGGCCCATGAAGCAGCACTCAGTGGGTATTTTACCGGAAGGGTTCAGTATGGCTGTCACCATCTGGAGGTCCCTGACAGCAGAGCGAATAATTGCTATGAACGATCTTCAACTATCAGCGTGGCAGGTTTGTTTATATATATATATTTCCTTTCCTTCAACTTAAAAGTTTTTAAAAGATAATACGAAAACGCAAGCTAATAGGAAAGAAATTGCTCAACCTCATATAAAGCAGACCATAAAATGTTTTAGAGAGCCATCATGCTTCAGGTTAAGATGGGAATGCAAAACTGATAAAATAAATCAATGTGCAATTGGTCAGACATTCAGAGTCTAAAGTCATATCCTCTTCAGTATGTTCTGGAGCAGAGTTTGATCTACCCTTGTATAAAACATCCTTCTTCCTTATAGAGCTATCACAAGGACGCAGCACTCTCTGGAACTTCCTCTTAACGAAGCCAATTCCCAGAAAGGTGCCATGGTCCCTGTATATGGATAACTCATTCAGGTGAGTGACTGCCATGAGGAATGTGCTTTCTAGGAAGCAGATGGGGCCCAAAGCAGCTTTAACCATGATCCTCTGGAGGTTGCCCTAGCCTAGAAATTCCTGGGAACACAGCAGGCCTCCCACCCTGTGGAGAAGGTGGTTTTCCCTTCTATTTGACAGTCTCCTCGTGCTTCAGCTTTTGTCTCAGGGTTACCAATATGAGTGTCACATAACAGGATGCTTACTTAACTTCAGAGGACCAAACTGTTCCCTGCTTTTGTGGAGTGTCTGAGATAACACRGATTATCAGGGATCAGGTACCTCACACGGGAAGAGCTAAAGGGAAACTACTGGCAGTCACGCACCAKCCTCACAATCCTATAGATAAAACCCAGCAAAATCATTGCAGAATTATTCCTAGGTTTCTAAAATAATCTCTCCAACTATACTTTGATATATAACCAATATAAGTCTAATCTGAGAGGTGTAAATTGTTCATTTTCTGCTTTTTAAGGTTTTCATTACCTAAAACATAGAATTAGGTTATAATAGGAGATTAAATGCTTTGCTGGTGCCATCACGTGGCAAAAATTTGGATTGCAGCAATCCAGCAAAATCCAAATTCACCCAGTGTGGTTTCTCTTAAAGAGTAGCACTGAGGAAAACAATTCTTGTCAAGATTCCTCTTAAAATATTTWTATATATATATATATATAAAATTTTATATATATGTTTCTATATGTATATACCAGCAACACAGACTGATGTATGTGTGGTACTTCTGTATATATGGAYACTAGCACCACAACTGATATGCACGTGGCATCATGGCTACTTCAGTTACTTCTAATTTGGGTCCTAATTTGCAAAAGGCCCACATTTTTGAGTGTTTTTTATACCTATATCTATATACACACATACACACCTAGTGTATTTGTGTATTATATGTACACAAAGTATATATATATTACATATGTATGGAGAATGGATAAATACAGAACCTGCAAAACAGATTCATAGACCCTTGTGGAAAAATACTAAAGTGAAGGGGCAYGGAGCCCTATTCTGAGCCTCCTTCCCAAGTGTGTTTGTAGCTAGCCTCTTTTTACACAACATGTCCCTTCACCTTTCATATCATATGTGCATTTCATATTGTATGTGYGTAATACGATTAGCATGGAATGTTTTATTCTCTAAATGCACCATCTGGTTAATGCAATTGAAACTTACAGCTCATCGTTCATGCGCACATCACTTTTCTTCAGCTGGGTCACATAGTAGTATTGTTCAATGGGAAGGCCTCTGCACAAAGAGAAAAACCTACATTTAGMAAGTAGACGCTAAATACACTTATAATAAAGCTAAGTAATTGTAATAAGACAGATACCATGTTTCTGTCTTGATTTCTCAGATAACCCACCATAGCAAAATTCTTGGATACTTCCAATCTGTTCTCAGGTTCACAGTGTAAGTCACACAGGGCTGGACTGTGGAYGGTGCTGACCTCAAACACCAATAGTTTCTTTGGGAATGTCCGGGCCAGCTCGAGGTGACCCTGGTGACCCGAGTCCCGCTGCTGCTCCCGGGTTCTCCTCCCACTGCTCTGGGCACATCACATCTCCTGGGGAGCCCTGAGCTTTGCCTCAGTTTCCTCTGAAAACCGGCTCTGCCAGCTCATAGTGTCTCGTGTTAAAAAAACCCCAGCCCTTTGGATGTGCCTTATTTTATACCCGGAGCAAATATACCAGCAGGTATAAAAGCCACATACTGGTTATATAGAAGTGTGCTGAAAAAAAATATTTTCTGCTTCCTTGCCATAAAATTTCATAGACATCTGGTGAGGTAGTTTGGAGAAGTGAAGCACAAGCATACACATCCCCGCTGCTTCTSTTTTGTGTGCAAGTCACAGAGTGAGGAATGCCAGTATTTGCCCTGTGCATAATATTTCCACAGCCTCAAGTCCTACAGATGTATATAAAATACCAATATTAACATAATCTAATAGTACCTTATTTGCTAGAAGGCTATATTTAAATCAACCCTAACTGTAGGATTTGTTTTTTCAACAATTTTTTGTGAAGTGCTCATGAGCAAGCAATATTTGCTTKGTAAAAATAAATTATTTTTCACTGTGGATATTTGCTGGGGTTTTATTTGCAAGTTGCATTATAAGCATACTTATTTGGGCTTCTCATATCTCTCCTGCTGTAATTTGTGCCTGTGCTATCAGAGGTGCAGCCATGAAAATCTTTCATTTGCATCTTGCTCACTTCAGCTTTCCCCTCCATAATCGTTCAYACTACAGCAAGTTCCTAATTAATTTCTAGCCTCTATCTCTGGTTGGCTTCACTGAGACCTGCAAAGGCAGCATCCTTGGGGGCACTGTAGCTTTGTTGCTTGTCTGGAAGGTAACTTGAGTAATTCAGGAACTCAGTGTGGAGCTCACTGCTTGTTTTGCACCAGAGGTGACCTCAGCAGGACTGTTGACTACTTGGCATGCTCTGGACAAGGCTCCTGCAGCATCACTTTGCTGTGAGGACACTCAACRAGAGGGTGACACCAATACAGAATCGTAAACTGGCTTGCAAGCCTCTTCCCCCTTCTGATTGCCAAGCTGGTTCTCTAGGAGAGGGGATTTAGTTCCCTTGCCTCATTTCCCCGCCTACATACTGAGCCTGAAGTGTGCCAGCAGCGGGAGGGCAGGAGCCACATGGGCAGCGTGACACTGACGCTTAGTCATGCTCCGTATTGTGGGAAAGGGCAGCCTTCATTCCTGACCTCTTYTTCTCATCAAATGGTGATTCATGTGGGTGGATCAGGGTCTCTGTGCTAGTGTGCCTAGGTAACAAATAAGGGAAGGAATTGCATATTCAAGAAAGAAGACAAGAGCAGAGAAAAGTCTTGTTTTGAGCTCATTATGCATTCTTGCTCTGATCCTATCACTGTGGCATCACAGCACCTTGTCACACTCCTGGGAGAGAAGTCCCATCTGCCTCATTTTACAGAGTGGCTGATTCGTGATCACAAAATGCAGAACAAGGACGGGAAAGTAGTTTCCAGTCTTTGAATTGTGTTTTAACTTTTGGTGTGACCATGACTCTCTTGAATATTCCCTTTTTGTCCTCTAGGGAAGCCTGCAGAGGTGATGGCTATCCTTGAACTTATCCAGGTTAGCACTAAGCAGCACATGCTCTGCCTTCAATGCCCTCCTGTAAGTGAATGACGGTGACCTGAAACCTTCCTCATTGTCTCAACAACATAAATTTGACATTGACCAAAAAAAAAAAAAAAAAAAAAAAAAGCTAACAGGATGACTAAGAAGTTTGGGAACTGTGAGGAGACTCAAGCTTAACGTATTTTGAACCCTTGGAGGAAGAAGTGAAGACGTGCTGCATATCTGTCTCACAGCATAGGAGGGCTTCAGCTGCTAGAGTGCAAACTCAGGTGTTGTCTTTAAACACTGATCTCTACAGATATTTTTATAGGTCTAGACAGACTTTGTTAGGGCTAGGTTGCTCACTGAGGGATTGGTATCGTTAGGTCTCAGGTTTGCAGGAATTATGTGAGAATTTATGACAGGAGCAGACTTTAAGATCATACAGATCAATGAGCAAACTTATGGTTGGATTTTTCAAGTGGGTTACCAAGTTAGGCTGAAGAGCTACCTGAAGCAAGAGCCAGGTGTTAGATCTTCCAGCGGGGACTCTCCATTAGGGTTAGAGCCAGAATTTGAGTTTTGCCCAATAGGGTGATGAGCTGAAGCCTTAAGGCTCGGCCTAAGCACTTGTCTATATTTTTCCTTAAGAGCTGCAGCAGTCATCCTGATTAGCTGGCCAAGCAGGGACTGCTATGGTTGAGGTTAAGGTGAGGAACAGGAAAATGAAGAGTAGACGCCAGTTTAGCACCACAGATACTGCGGGGGAAGTAGAAGTGTAGTATCAGGGCCCAGTGTCTAGTGCAAGGTGTTTGTTTACAAGGAATAAAGCACTGGGCTTGGGTTTGCCCTGCTAGGGAAGAGTGGGAATCATGACTCTGTGGGTATGGTGCTAGATATCTTGATTTTTAGTGCCTGCACTAAGCTAGCAGGCACTCCATGTCCCAAGTGAAATCCAAGTTCCAGGAGCTCACTGGACCCAAAACCCTTAGGAACTGTTGTCATCTCAAGGGAAATTTCTCTGTATGAGTGTCAGGATTGTTGTCCTGTCATGGGGTCAAGGACAGGGCCTGGATAGGGCAAGGCTGGGAAGAGCAGCCATGCTGTAGACTCAGTTGACTTTAGCCAGYGGTGGTAGGTGCAGGGCCGGGCATACGGAGAAATTCGCTGATGAGGCAGGTCTGACTGACCAAGTGCAATTGAGTGGTTGTCTTCAGTCAARGCTTTATCTTCTGACACAGAGCATTGAGGAATCTGGAATGGTCAGTTCTAGAGGAGGAATTTGTGTGGTAAGGAGCAAGGATATGGAGCCCGGACTCCCAGAGCTTTTTGTCTCTGCTTCAGCCTGATCCCTTCTTTAAAAGCAGCTTTCTGAAAAAAATGATCACCTCCTTTCCATGCTTATGCTTATGGGATTTCTCCGTGCTGAGCRCTAGTGTAAATCATGCCATTAGTGACATTTTTAAGGTCATGAGGATGTCTGGGATAACAGCCAACAGAGTAAATTATTACCACATTTTGGACAAAAAGGAACTGAAATGTGGAAATTTGGAATTTCAGGAGATTCAGCAAARCACTGCAGAGGTTTATGGGTATCAGTATATTCCCACATTAATACTTAGAGCATCATGCAAAAGGGCAGTAGCTTAAAGTGTCCCATTTCTAGAATGCAGATATTTGCATGGCTCAGTCTGCATCGCACTCTCACCTGCTTGCTGCTTATTGCTATTCCTGTTTAAACACCCTTCATTTAAACATTTTGACTGTATAAGGTATTTGTTCTTCCTACCTCGGCCAGGGGTTTACAGCACTGCCGTAATGTTGATGGCCTTTAATGAGTGCCCCGGGAGGCTGGTCCTTTGCCTCGTGTCCCTCTGGCAGTACAAGCAGGGCAGGTCCCCAGTGCGTCCCCTCTGTTCCCCAGGGAAGCCTGCACCACTGAAGGGAGTCTCTGAACTTCTCATATCTGAAAGAAAGAACCCCCAAAATGCCCTTTAGTAGCAGTAAGAGTGATAGTTATGTGAAACCTTTTCAACAATGAGAACTTGTTTTTCTTGGCTGTGAGCTACCCAGCTTTCTTTCAGAGTAAAGCCATCATGATGAACGTGCATTAGAAGAAGTGCTAAAATGTGTTCTTTTGGGTGACAGAAAATCTGCCTAGCCAACCTTTATTAAAAGAAATAAAATCCAAAAAGGTGATTTAACCATGACTTGACTGTCCAGTATTTTCTGAAAACCTTATCAAGGAACACCTTTAAAGGGTAACTCACACTTTGGGGAATGAGTAATAGGATATCTGGATTAAGCTATCCAGAAAAAGTGCCACTCTGCAGGTCCTAACTGGATTCAGTTTTACGATGTTTTTCCAATACAAGATTCCCCTATGACTTGATCTTGTTTTCCTATGAAGGCAAAATAACATCTCTGAATCCACATTTCCTAAACTGTGACAAGAAATAAACTAATTCACCGTATCTCCATTTATTACAATCCTGGTCTTGGTCACAAGTATTTATAAGTCTTTTGGGAACAGATAAGTGCAATAAAAATCTCAGAGTACATTTAGCTCAAAGAAGAATCACYCAAACTCAACTGTATCAAGTACCCAAACAGACACTAAGAAAATCTCCATGAGAAATCCTGATCCACAAGGCAGGCACAGCGCTGCACCCCGTTTTGCTCTTTGTACTTTCTTGGCAATGGAGATGCATCTGAGCAGCTAGTTTGTTACTTGTTCTTATACTGTTTTTCACTCTGCTGCTGCCCAGTACTCTTKCTTTTTGCCACGGCACGAAAGTTAATGTAAGATGAACCACACTAAACCCCCGGGGCACTGTGGACTATCGGAGAGCTTTGCTGTCTTTAAGTTGCTGAAGAACCCAAGCATCTCCGTCTTGAGAAAGTCCTGGTTAAAGCCTTGATTCTCCTTTCTAAAGTAGGAAGACTGATGCCCATCACCTGCATGACGGTGGTATTTGTATTCCTTTAGCTGGCTCCCGCTGGAAACATTAATAAATCATTCCTGTTGRCTCCTGTCTACAGATTACTTAGCTGCAGAACAACCACTTTGCCTTGGACAGAATAGACAAACATTGTGCAGAAAAGTAGCAGGGTCTCATCAGCCATTCAGGCCAAACAGGGCTTTGCTAAGCTTAAAATGCTTCCAGGCCCTGTTTCACAAAGAAACATTTATAGCTAATATCGATCCAGTGATATTAAAGATCTCAAGGACGCAGAAAAAAAAAAAAGAAAAAAAGGAAAAAAAGAAAAAGTCTCTGCCCAGAGAATACTAAAGGAAGGCTGGAGAGGAAAGAGTGTTAAAGACTATATAGCGAGTAATCTTTCACTGTCTCGGGGTTATAGTCAGTAACTGGATAAAGACTTTCCATTTCTAATTTCCATGTTTCTAGATTTACTTTGAATTCTGACAGTCAACTTCTAGCATTGGACTCCTGTTCAAATAAAGAGCAGAAAAATATGCTAACATTCTGGTATCACATGAATTTGCGAATCTTCTAATGGTCCCTTTATTTAAGTAAAGTTACATTTTTGCTTTCAACTTTGTCTCAGTCGGGGAGCCTCAAACCAAGTGAATGCAGCATCAGAGAACGTGAACTTGTAAAGGGATCCGGTATCTGATTTGATCAGCACATGAAGCTAATGCAGCTTAGGAATATCCAAGAGCTTCCATAAAGTCTGTGGAGACTGAATTTTGAGAGGAGTAGGTAGGAGCTGACCCTGCATGAGTTCACATAGGATGCATTTACACTGGTGCTTTAACTGGATCAGGAATGCACTTTTGACATGAATCTCCCAGCGGTCTCTGCCACCTGCAGTGCTTTGGTCATGGAGCAGATGAACTGGATTCCTCCTGGATTAAATAACCTGGAAGAGGTGCACTGCGGATGCAGCAGGAGGGCCCTGCAGCGACAGATGGGCATTCAGTCCCAACAGTCATGCTAGAGGTAAACTGAAGTTAAAGACGTCTGAAATGCATTTTATCTGCACCTCAGATTGTCAGCAACCACTATTTCACTCTGCAGATCTTCTCCAGCAGTCCACATTACTTGCTAATGTAGCCCTAGTCACTATGTAACATCCTGATTTGGGATTCAGGGAATATCAGTCAGTGCTCAGCACTGGGTGCCTGTACCAGTTTCTAAAAATGGCATCTTCTACATTCAGTTTTCATAAGTATAAGCCTTAGAGAATTAGTCTGATTTGATATGTAGGAGTCACCTTGAAGGGCAGAATTATGAACATACTGAGATAATATGAAATATGAACATACTMAGATAAATTAGAAACTTGCTATATGCATGTGAAATACAGAATGTAGCATTACCTTTGCAAAACTGTTTGCCAGCTTTGGTACATTTTTCTTTGGGGCATGATGATTTGTGAGTTGTTCAATGAATTAGTAGACAGAATAAACATGTATATATATATTTACTCTTTTTTTTTTGAAGCAGCTGAACCTTTTTTTAATTAATTTTTACCAATAACTACATATGGTGTCTTGAGGTAGACAATTTGCCATAGAAATATCAGAAATGCCAGGCAACCTTTACTCTGCCAGGATTATTTCCAGCTTTTCCTATACAAAGAGCTTTCCCTGCCCTGTGTTCCTCTAACTCACAGATTCAGTATCACATGACTGAATTTGCTACCAAGTGCTTCTGATATCAATACTGAAAATGGTCATTTGATTACTGAGGGAAATGCCTAGAGCACCTGGCCTGCAGGTGGAAACAAACACCCAAACGTGCTTCATTTTTTCAGGGTATGGTTTATCAGTGGTAATGCTGATAACAAATAATCTCGTCCAAGATGATAAGGTAATAAATGTCATGCAGTATTTTAAATAACTGAGACAACTTGTCTGAGCTGTCAGACAACTGAGACAATGTTCCATTCATTTAATCTGCTTGTAAACACATGGCTAGACAAAAAAAAAGTACCATTTAAGAAAAGAACATGCATGATATTCTAAAACATATTACCTTATTTTATTACTATAAACCTTATTTTGAGCTATAAACAGGTGAGTTCACTGAAGTGTTTGTTTACTTTATCAGAAAATGTATCTCACTGTCTATATTGCAATTGATATTTTCCTTTCCATGGAGAAAAGATGTTTTATGACCTAGCCATGCTTGTTCTTATCTGCGTTTCATTATTGGGCCTAATTACTTGTCAACTGAAAGATGCTTTGCTGGTTGTTGAGACCCATTTGAAGAATGACTTTGCAAAACCCAAATGAAATATGTATGGAGATTTTGAAATGATAGAGGTTATTTTTTTATGCAGCCTGGTGAAATTTGGTGAAATCTTTTATTTAAAATGTAACAACTCAAGTTTGAACACTCTGTAAACAGATCAATTATAGGAAGCTCTCTTCATAGCAGTCCATGAAATGGTAAAAAGGCAAGTCATTTATTTTTGCAATTACAGTCTGATGTAGCATTTTATAATATTTTCCCTTTTCTTTGTATGAAATGCAGTACCAGTGATTTAAAAGGAATGTGATGCATTGGTCTTCTCTTATGGAGAGAACAGAACTCAGTATTAAATTCATAATACTTAAGGATCTGTTGAATATTCTAGTCTCTCCTGTATGTGAGAAGTCATTAAAATTCACATACTTTTGTATCATGTATTTATATTAAAATTCACCTTTACTTATTATTTACGYATTATGCTTGGTAATTTGCCTTTAACTAAAACACATCTCCAAAACTCCACAGAGCCTAGTTTCCATGAATGTACAGTAGTTAAACAGAGGGCTCTAAGTAAGATTTGAATTTACAGTTTAGTTTCCTAACAACAGAGATAAAATCTSATGTCAAAGAACAGTGGAGGACCTGAGACTAACTCAAGTCTGCTTGTATGTAAAAAATAGAAGTTTAAGCCCCAAAATTATTTGTTGTAAGTCTTGAGCAAGAAGGAGGTTCAGCTTTCCACARCTATTAAGACTAGAGGAATTCAGTGATATCCTGCCCTATAGCTATTAGTATAATAGCTTCAGTAAAATATAATAAAATATATGGATTATGAAACTTTCTAACTATACATCGTTGACTRCTGACGCAAATGCAGGCTTCATGACATTTTAAATTTTTATTTATAGTCTGTCTCAGCAATTCTAGGTCAACCAATAATCCAGGAAAAATAAAAAGTTTCAAAACAGGAGTAGGTCAAAGAAAAAGATGGCTAAAGTTGTTAGCATTTTTTGGAATGTGCTCATTTTTTCCAAAGGAGGAAATACAGTATACATGTTCTTTCTGTTCTTTTTGAAAATTGTTTGGGAGATTTTGAGCACTAAATTTATAATATATCATATATCACTACTGAGCTTTTCAACTGTAATTAATATATTTCCCAGGGAACTGACAGACTACTGCATGTGGTTGAGGAAGAAAGAAAATGTTACAAAATTTCTGCCAGGCTAGAAAAAATGTRATTGTTAGAAAACACTTCTAGCAATAGCAAATGAATACCAAATACTTTTAACAAACTTATTTTTCTCTACAAGTTCAAGTCTTACCTGTCTTGTGAGACAGTTGGACGTGAAGGAATTTGAAGTGGTGTTAGTACCTCATTAGACTCATAGGTCCTTGACAGAACATCAGTTCCCTCCATTTCCTTATAGTAATGGGCCAAGTCATGCAGTGTCGTCGAGTTTCATATTTGAGCTTCTGGGGGATAATATAGGGATGAAATATCAAATAATCAGAGGTTCCRCCAGTGCATCATGAGGAGGAAACATATACATACATATATATATACATATATATATATATACACACACACACACACATATATATATATATATATATTTTTTTTTTTTTTGCCTGGCTCTGGTTGAGTATAGAAACAATGCTTGCTTTTACTACTGCTACCAATAATTTGTATCAGATTACAGAATAAGATGAAAAGAAAAAGATACTATATAGAGATAGTGGCATTTTTGCTTTGTGTTTTTTGTATACAAGAGCTAGGAAAAAAAAAACTTTCAAGGAATAGCAGGAGCAAGTTTCAAGCTGCTCTTAGAAAGCATCTTTTGATCATTTGGATTCAGCTTTAAGCTCAAGTCTCACTCTGGAAGGGACATTCTCTCAACAGTTCCCATATTTTTCTCTTAATTGCCATGATTTCTCTTTCCTTCCACCTTTGTGCTTTCTTCCTCCTTTCACCTGAGGGAAGCYGTGTTTTGGCGCTGGTGACGCAGGCTCGTGCTCGCAACAGCTTGTGAGGAAAGGTGAAAGATGGGCCTTAGAGCCCTCGCTTTGTAGAACCCCCTCGCGCTGTCCSTATCTGTACAGGCAGGCTCTGCTCTGGGGCTCAGGTGTGTGGGGGCAAGCTGGTGGCTTTCTTGCCCATGTCTGCTGTGCAGGCGGGTCCTGCTGTACTCAGGCTGTCCCTTGTGGCCCCACAGGAGTGCTCCACATCCTCCGTGCTCCCGAGGCAGGGATCCACACCACCCGTTTTGCTTCCTCACGCTCTGGCATTTCAGTCACAGTCCCTAGCGGCCAGGTCAGAATCTCAGTGCGTGYAGCTCTGAATCCCCCTAGGCCCACCTGCCGGCTGACCCATCACTCCATCACGGTCCATATCCCCCGATCCAGGGAGGTCTAACTACACTGTCCCTGCAGCTGCTCTTCTCCAAACCCTCTGCTGAATCCTAAAGGCTGCCTCCAGATCCACACATGCAATTCCTTGCCCAGCACTTCCAGGGGACCGGGATGGGAACCACAGGTAATTGCCTGGCCCTTGACTACTACCTTTAGGAGGAGATCCTAAACAAGGGTCAAGGCATCCTCATGAGACTCGGCTCTTCTGGCACAATCCCAYGTGCAAAAGGAACCTCCGCTCTCCTTCTAGTTCTGTTTCCTGGGAAACTGGTGCTACTGCTTCCCGCAAGCAGTGAGGATACAGCTTAGCAAGGCTACTGCTGAGGCCTTAGAGGGCTAGTAATGGCGAGCTGAGGAAAACTCTAGGAAAGAGATGATGAAGTGATAAGCCGCGTTGCGGGAACAAAGTCTGAAATCCTTCCTGTCTCTGGAGAAATCACTCACAAAGTCCAGCCCCAAAGGAAATCACAAATTTCCAATGACATACTCCAAAGAGGGAATTGCCATTTTTCCCATTTCAATCCCGTGGCTTTCTGAAATCCTCCGCTAAGAGAATGAATTATCCCACTCTAAGCTAAGAAGAYCTTACAGTAAGAGAAATTACTCTGACTCAATTTGATGTCCTGGGGAATTTTACCGAAGTAAAAAATAATTTCTAAATGTGATAGGCTTTCCAATATTGTGTTTTCTCAACCCCAGAGAAATACTACTCTGGAGTGGAGAGAAATGTTTGGGGAGTGGCTTCTTCCAAGATCARTAGTAAACAGGAAAATGAATGGAACAAAACTAGGAACTAAGCCTACCTTCTGGGTCAACGTAGTCCAGCGAGAATGTACTTTGGCCTGTCTTGTAGTTGGTGACAACACAGCAAGAGGGCAAAGATAAGTATCTTTAGAGATCATATGTAGAATATGATAGCCAGTGATGTCAGACACATGGCTCCATGGTGCATGAAGGCAACTTGGGAACTGGGATGTGAGGGAGAAGTAGCTGACTTCTAGGTGAGGTCTCTACAAAAAAATGACCGTGTTTGAATGGGTCTGAGAAGAACTCAGTGAAGTAGTTTGGGTGTCAATTCAATTCCTCACACACTGGATGAGCATCAGATATCTCAGTAAGACAGGCAGCACAGCAGCAGGACCTCCAGGAGCTGCTGCGCCTGTTCTCAGGGGTCAGAGTCTTTTGCTTATGTTTTGTGGGGGGCGTTCCGCACCATCCRTTGCGATAGCTGCACTCATTACCAGGATTTGGCTGCTGGTTAGTTGGCTTCCTGGAGGTTTCAGTCTGTTTGTGTTTGACAGACGTAGTGATAGATTTTGATCTGTTTTGCTTTCTTCTGCTGAYCTTTCTCTCAATTTGTTTTTATTTGAGTCAAATTGGTGTCAGTTGGTGTGTTTGAAAGAGCATTTTTGTTCTGTAGTTTCTCTCACAAGGCMGGGTGAGATATTCCCCTAACTCCTTCAGTAGCCTCTTACGGCAATCCAAAGCACACTTTTGAAAGAGTATTTTTTCTTTGAAATCAGAGTTACTCTCCCACAGAAACATGCTTTTAAATGAATATCTTTTCTGCCCTCTTGCGGCCACACATCAGTTTTGCAGTTTTACAGATTATTTGAATTTCGAATAACTTGAATTGTGTTTCTGTAATTACAAATGCCTTCGTTTGCTTTAGGGAAAAAAAATCATATCCTGAAGCCACTTTCTCTGTATACATTATTTTTGTGTCTGTCTTTCATTTGAGTAGGGCATTTGACTGTCAAATTGACTGTCAAATCAGATTGTCAAATTAATTACATAACATTTTCTTAGTTTTAACATATAATCCTAAATAAGATGTGATTTACATATTAGAGGAAACAGATAAAGATACTTTATTTTATTTTTTAGCCATTAACGTAATTTTAGTTCTGTCCTTATGCAAGACATTGCATAATTGCTTTGCGTAATTGCACACAGCAGCTTCAATTCTTCAGTGATTCTTTAGTTTATTAATAAAAATTTCTCTCAAAGTTTCAATGTCATGTCCATCAATCAGTATAAGSGAATAATGCCATCAAATACAGGATTATGGAGGGATGTATAATTTTAGTTAAGGTGAAAGTGATTTRCCACTGCTTGTCATCTTAAGATCAAGTGTATAGAGATGGAATATGTGTATATACATACCCGGTAGCAGCTCTAATGCTTTTTGGCTGATGGGGATCTGAACAGGCAATTTTGTAGCAGATAYGTATGCATACATGTAATGTCATGGCTGTTTCAGAGAACAGTGTACAAAATAGGAATATCATAGATTCACCTGCAAGCTAATATCAACAACACAAGAATAGTTTGTTGTTATGTGTTAAAAAACAGAAATAGTCATTAATTTCTCGTGTGCTCCCAGTCAGACCCAGCTRCCATGTCCTCAGCCTTCTGGCTTCTGGGGTAGGTAGGTCCGTGGGCACTGGGGCCTTGCGCCAGCGCCAACACGGGCACCATCTGTGCTCAGCACAAGAGCTGCGTAAGACTCAGAACAAATTTATTGCTGGTTGTAAAGTTCAGGCGGGGGTGGGCCCTGCAATCCTCCGGGCTGCCCCTGGAGATTCATAAATTCATGTGCGGTATAAATCTGGGCAAGTATTTATTTGTTAGGAAATGTCGTGAAACCTGGGGCATTGAGAAGCACAGGGTAGCTGCTTAACTAGTGCAGGAGGTACATTCTTCCAACGGTTTGCTGCTTTCTATTCCCCTTATTTTTTTCCCACACAAAAGTGACATTTYTAACCCAAGAGCAGTTCAGAATCACCTGTGTTCACACTTCCCCATTTCAARCCTTCATAAGCCATATGTGATCCCAGTATAACAACTTTATAGGTACCCTGSTGTAGCTTCACAGGTATTTAATCTTTTCACAGGCATGAAATTTCTAAATTAAACTGATAYCTTCTCTTTCCTAGCTGCCAGTGAAAATCCATTACTGAATTAGGATGCACCATTTCATTTAAAATGTCTCTTCAGAGAGGGCAAATTTGCAGCTCTCAGAATCGATGATGGTCTATAAAGGGAAAGTAGGTATTTGGTTAAAAATGTAGCTGCATTCAAAGATGAGTTCGACACCTCCAGCATATGTTGTTATTTGTTCTTTGAGCCTCTCTAACAGCAAAGTTCAGAGAAAGTTTGTCTCAGCTCTCTTACAAATACAGTTATTCGTATTAGTCATATAACACAGTTAATTCTAAACATTTTTATTGCCTTATGGTACAGATGTATTATGAATACCCGGAGAATTGAGCAGCTCACAGAATAAGCTGATTTGCAAAGTTCATCTCTGTTCTCCCTCACAGATTCAAGCAGAGGGGCCAGCTGAGCCCTTCTGTGAATGAGAACACATGGAGCTCATCAGACCTTTCTGGCTCTGTTCAGCATTTCCACAAATTTTAAATCTATTTGTTTTCAGCTGGAATATTTAGTCTGAAGTTCCTCTGAGATGCAAGATAACCTTTGTATACTTTGAATCGAAGTAGTGTGATGCTAATTGATGCAACATGCTGTCATTGAGGCAGGGTGGCTTTGGGAACTAAGGGTCAAAATCCAAGCAGGGTTTTGAGAAATGTCTCTTTGCTGTCATTCTTTAAAATGCCCCTTGACTGGTCCTGCCATGTCTCAACCTCCATTTATATGTGCATAGCTTTCTTCCTCCATTCCCTTCAATTTAATCAGCTTTATATTATATATGATTTGTTTCAGTCTCTTTCAGTGACTGTCCCTAGGTTTCTCTGCTAGGTGGCTGTGTTCTTCCTCTAGACACCGCCTTAGAAGCAGAGGGCCTAGTAGTTCCCTTCTCCTATTCCACTTCTGCTTTCCCTTTCACTAAACTGTAAAAATCTCTTGCAGTATAAAAGCATGAGATTTAATGTATGTATTCCATTTGCCTGGGTGACTGTCTGATTTTCTTATTGCATTTTATTCTCAAAACTAGAATATGGCTAATAGTTGCTTCTGTTTTTGAACTATTGCTCATCTCTTACTAGTTACCTGTATATGCACAAATTATAATGGGAATGCCAATTAAACCAACTTTCTCTTGACCAAACCATTGCTTACCACTTGAAACGGAATTTACTTGTATGCTTCTCAAACCAAGAGGACAACTGAAATTCAGAATCTCAAGTCAAATGCCGCTTCGACTATTTTTTGTAACGGCTCCTCTTATATTTATTTTACAGGAAGGATCACTCTGCCATAGCAATCAATATCTCCATCTTTCAATATTTTTCTATCACACTGTGTGTGATTTAAAATCTGGGTGTTGCAGAAGGCAGATGTACAAAACCCAGACAGGGCAAGAATGCTTAGGAGACCCAGAACCTTGCCTAACGGTGGCTCTTGAAAGAAAGAATTTAAGCCCAGAGCCTGCCAAAAAGYATGGCTGATTTCATCAGAACAAGATACAATATTGGTAAGTTGGGTTTCCAGCTCAAGAGAAAGCTCCTTCCAGCAGATCTCAGACTRCCTCTAAACATGAAAATGGTCTTTCTTGCTCAGACAAGTTCCTTTGAGACAAGCACCCCAGTTCTGGCAGAGGCCCGTAGCAGGTACTGGAAGAATAGAACAACAGCTTTTCTGTGCTGGGTGATATTTCTCCAGGCTACCTTCCCAACTTCTGGCACACTGGGGTTAGAGACTCTCTGAAGCAGAGAGTGCGTCTGCACTGTTGTGCTTAATAGCCCTTTCTCTCAGGAACTTGTGCAGCTGTTTTGTGAGCTGAGTTGCTATGTATCATCTCCACAGCATCCCATGGCAGTGAGCTCCATCGTTAGTGTTTCGTATAAAAAAGCATTCCCTTTAGTTTAGCGTTAAACGTCTCACTTGTACTTTCTTTCGATACCCTTAGTGTTGTCAAAAATAAGGTATAATCATTTTCTGTCCTCCTCCTCTATACAGGTCCTTATTTTATCCCTCTTTACTTTCCCCCTGTCGGTCGGTCGGTTCTGTGCCCACCTGAGAAGTGCTGGCTACGCAGCTCTGCCGGCAATTTCAGGCTGCCGTTTCCAACTCTTGCTACTGGGTGCTCTTCAGGAGGCGGCAGTGTTTCAAGCGTGTTSTTCAGGGTTCAAAAGTCCTATTGCTCTCACATTTTCTAAGCACTTGGACCAAAGCTAGCTCAGTTGCCATCTTTTGAAGAAAATAAAGAGGATGGTTGCAAAAGCAGTTTAAACAAATCTAAGATTGAAAGATTACCCGTGCTCACCTGTGCTGGCCTTCTGCTTTCTTTACAGTGGCACTAGTGCTCATATGCTAGCTGACGCAGCAAATCATTAAGATTTTGATCCAAATCATTAAGATTTTGATAGATTCAGGTTTTAGTTTCCACACATGCAGTTTCATGATGGGTAATGCTGGAACTAGAGAAGTGACAGGATGTTTTGGTTGGGGGTTGAGGAAAGCAGGACTATGGCCAAGCGACTGCAGTCAGGTCAGCAGATGCTTGTTGTGCACCTGCATGCCAGGTTCTTCATATGAACACAGAAATATTCTGAGTTCACTGTCCAGCTCAGTATGGCTCCCTCCATATTTGGAACTGAGAGAGGTTGATCTCCTGCCTCTGCAAAGGAAAATTGACACAGCAATAGGAATTTTCAAAAGCCCAAGTCTATGGCGCTTTCTGAAGGTAAAACAACACTGTCTCTTTATATTCTTTTGAATTTCTGTGGTACRTTGCAATCAACTACATGATGAGCCTTCACACTTTTAAATTAATCAGCAGATTGTCAGCTGTCCTCTTTATGAGCTTAAGTCAGAATTTAAAATAAGSTTGGTGTTGTTTTTGCATGGAGGCTTTAATGATAGACATAAATATTATGTGTATGGCGGGGAGGGCTGGGAGCTCCTGAACCCTACTAGAATTCATGCCAGTGAGCCTTGATTGTCTGTCACTTGATTTACTCTAGCCCTTTCCTTGCTTTTTCACTACTCATGAATAATATCTGTGTAGGGATGATAAATAATCTGGTGAGTAACAGCTATAGCAATGTATGTTGCCTGTTGTGTCCCTTCTCTTCCTGTTGCACTATCCAGTGATTGTTTTCTTGGCTCACATACTCTCAAAGCAAACAGAAATTTTGCACAGCATAGCACAATTGCTCCTTTATGTACGTCTTGCCTAGCCCTTCCTCTGCTGAGGGAAAATAAATCAGCAGTCCTGTCCTGTGTGCATGTGGTGGAGCTTGCAGTAAGACTGCAACCTAATCGTACGTGCCGCTGGGCCAGTGTTCAGGCTTCTGCTTTCCTCCCACAGCAGCCATCAGTAATGGCAATTGGTGTGTTCCCTTGCCCTGTTGCAAGGTGATATGTCCCTGAAAAAAAAGTTCCTATGGCTGCTCAGGGATTCCCACAAATCTTGTTAGCTGTCCATTCACATGATGTACAGTGAGGCGTGCCGGACCAGGACACAACTCGAAGTTCATAAAAGTTCCTTCTGTTATTCATTTGACTATAAATCACTAAAATATCCCGCAGTTTTCCTGGTTACAGAAAGAATGGCATCCTCTTCTGGTGGTGGGCAGCAGTAAAACTTTCACTGCATAGGCCAAAGCCTGGACTCTACCTCAGGTGGACAATTTGTTGACCAGAATCCTTCAGCATGGACCTGATGTGCTATGATTCCTAAGTGTCGTGCTGCAAAGAGTGAAATGATCCTGTATTTCTCCAGGTAAAGTCATTCTTTGTCTGCAACTTTCAGGCTCTGGTGGTGTTCACAGGGTCTAATTCTTTCCACCTGACAGATAAGTTCCTGTGAATACAAAGACAGTGCTGTGTCGGGGCAAAGCTGGTATATTAGGTTTTAGGTACCAGCACAGAGACTCTGCGAAAAGCTCAAAGATTGATTTAGGACTCTCACTTTTAAAAGGTACAGTCTCTTGAAAAACTTAATTTGTTTAAGATCTGCCTATCTCTCTGACATTTTGAGTCTGAGTGAATAGAGAGACTCAATATTTTCAGGACTGTAGAGTCACACTGCTTTGCCTAGAGTTAAATTCATCAGTCTTACATTGAATAGGGCTGTTTCTGGTGCCCTCATTAATTCTGTAGAGGAGTAGAGGACTGGCAATTAATGGCGATGCAGTCTCTGTCACACCCATGAGCTTAACTGCTAAAGGATTGATTTGATTGTGGATTTCTTCAGGTTCCTCTAAGGATACATGGATTGTAAGGATATCTGGGTATTGGTTATCCAGCATTAAAGACAACACTCAGAAGCCCAGATCCTGAGGAACAGGAGAGTACAAGACAAGCATAAAACACAGGACTCCAAAATCAGTGATTGATGGGCCACTGAAAGCCTAGAGCATCAGCCAGAACTTCGTAACTGATGATCATGGCTATCATGAGAAAGAGTAAATTTACTTATCTGATGAAGCCTGTGGGATTCTGTAACTTACAATGGGATGTTTTAAGGGGATTTGGGGAAAGTGCTAAACTTATTTTGGGATATTTAGCCAAAAGGGAGGGAGCAAGGTGCATGAGGGAGGAACAAGCATGGGAAAATGGAAAGGAGAGGGATTAGAGGACTAAACTGCATGCAGACAAGCAGCTGTCAGTGTGCCTGTGCCTGATCATCACAGCCTGTCCTGTCTTCATGGTAAACTCCTGGCTATTTTCCTATGTGAGTGAACTCTCTGTTCTCTGTGCGTGTGTCACTGCATGATCCAGTAGCCAATCTCGAACCAGACTAACCAAGCTGGTCCAGTGGTAGAGCAACCTGAGTGCCAGCAACCAGAGACAGAGACCTCCCGTCAAAGGACTCCGTAGGTCTGAGGACTATGAGCTGGAAGGACTGGGAATCTGAGAACCAGCTACTGGATCATCTGAGAACCAGCAAGTAAGACCAGGATCTGGCCGTTATGTGGTTGGTGCTTATGAGAGTCTTCTGTGTGTGTGGTGCCTGTGAAGATGTTGCCTTGTTACCTGTAGTCAGCTTTGACTCCATAGTGTGTGTGTGTGTGTGTGTTTCCCTATATATATATATTTATAATATATATATACACTCTATAGTGTGTGTGTGTGTGTGTGTGTGTGTGTGTGTTGGGGACACACAACCTCCCTGCTGGCTGGACCAAGGATGAAGGGACCCCAGCAGGCGCTGCAGCCGTCCCTGGCTCCTGCAGCCCACCAGGCTTGACTTCCCTTAGGCAGTGAAAACTTCAGCTTCTATTCAAAACCTACTGGCAATTGAATTTTGGAAGAAATGTAGGCACAAACGATCCTACTTAAAAGACACCAGTTTTCATAAGAAATACAGAATGAAAATGCTGGTTCATTTGCAGCCCTTACTGTGTGGCTGTAATGCCATTCACATTAACAGAAGGATCAGGATGCCCGCAGGGCATTAGGACATTAAAGAGGACATTATTTCAGACGTAAAACATCAGGATAGTTGCATTATAAAATGACTTTCGTTAGATGTTATTCCTCTGAGGGGGTCCAAGAAACTAGTTTTTATTTCTGAAAAATTCCTGACTAGTCTGCCTGCAGATTTATATCCAGAAGACTCATAAAAACAGAAAAAAATGCTTTCTCTACATTTTATTTTATTTTTTTCCAGCTACATGTGACACAAAGGTACCGATGGTTTCAGTCCTGCTTCATTTTGTTATTCAGACAGTGAGATTCTCTTCATTCATACCATTGCTCCTTACRTATGCTCTACTTCTTTAATTTTGCTTAAAAGAAGTATTACATTGCATTCTTCAGTAATACAGCTATTTTCTCTTTTCTTCTGAAAATAGTTTTTACAATCAACAGGACATCAGCTTACAAGATGTAATTAGAATTTATATATTACTGTCACTGAAGTAAACTAGTACAACAATCACTATAACTATCATTGCTTTACACATTAAGGGTTTGTACAGAATAAATGCAATGTYATTCATGATATGAAGATAAGTCTGCATTTAAATTCTCATATGTTTCCTTCCCGTGATCTTTAGAATTGAGTATAGACTGCATTTTTTCCAAGTGTTTCGATTTCAGTCTTCATCATTCGCTTCCAATTTTAACTTAGTTGTTAAAATTCATATCTCTAAAATAACAGAAAATATCACAGAATAAAAAGTGTTATTATCAAATGAGACAGTGACCGGGAAATAAAATAAATCAAACTAAATCAGAAAGAAATGTTGTCTTCCAAAATATAACTTATCTTGCCTTATTCAAAACTATGCTTTATGCACGTGTCAGATGCAAAGTTGGTGCTGGCACCTGAAAGTGACTGAACTGACTCATCTTAACTTGGAATGAAAATTCAGAATTGCAAAAAACCCTCCGTATTACAGTCTGAAACAAATAGGTTAGTCTGAGAAAAAAGAAAGTTTTTCTGATCATTTCAGAATGCTGCAATTCAGTTTTAAATTCTGCCATTTAATGTAATTAGCATAGATTTAGAAAATGAAAAATCATTTATAGCATTTTGTGTTGGTCACTTTAAAACACAGAAATGTTATCTATTAATGATTCTAAAAATTTCTCCTGAAGCTTTAAACTTATCAAAATGAAACCTGATCTCAAAAAGTAGTGTTAAACCTAATCTTGTCATATAAACTTTTCCAGCTTTGACCATTTGGCATCTTCTCATTAGAAAATATTTCATAAAGAGATTCTCAACTAGCACTTGTGACGATGCTTTTTAATATTGTTAGCTCTGAAGCTTTCTTTTGATAAATTTGATTCCTGCTCAGGGAATATCTYGGGAGGAAAGTTTGTTGTATTTGATCATTGCTAAACTGCTATTTAATTTACAATTGAATACATCAACACTTACATAGCATTACCTGGCTCAGATTCCTGTACATCTTGAGACAGATTGACAGACAGTGACTTCCCAAATCTCTGTGGCAAATTTAGAAGCGATTGAATGGAACCTCTAACAAACGGGGCTCTCCCAAACCTGTATGATAAATCTGGGGCATGTCTAGGTAGACTCTCTCCAAAAGCTCTCCCAAATCTCAGAGGAAAATTAGCAATGGGCTTAATGCTTCTTTCTTCWGGGTCATTTCTTCCAAATCTAAGAGGTAAATTAGCAACTGAATTTGGCATCTTGTTTACTGCAGGAGCATTCATTTTAACAATGTTTCTTGATCCCCAGTCTTTCTTTTCTTCAGAATTGAGACTTCTCTGCYTTTCTTCCAGGATATTATCTATAATCTAAAAGAAAAGTAAAAATTGATGACATAATTTTAATAGAGTGTTATTCCAGCTACAGGCCAGTCACTTAAGGTATTCATTTTCATATCTCCTTAAAAAGATAGTGGGGAACACTTTTCTGTTATCTAATATTTTTAGTACCTTTTTCTGTTATCTAATGTTTTTAGTACCTATATTTGCTAAGCTCTYCCCTAGTGTGGATTACTTCACACAGAGACATTGTCCTGCAGACTTTCTCTCTTCACTGACCTCGAGAGCATCTGTCTATGGATCAGCTTCTGCAGCTGTCCAAATGAGGTCATTTGGAAATATTCCCAGACATAGGTGTAGGTARCAGGGCCATGAGGTAAGTGTGGATACGAGTCATTGTCAGGTCCACATTTTTTACTGTTGCCAACTGAAGCTCTTTAGAGGGGAAGGGTGATATTTAATGGCTTGATATAGACCTGAGTTCTCGTTCCTGTGATGTGGATGAGCAGGGGTGGGGAGGATGAGGCACCTGGAGGGGTAGCCTCTTTCTTCCTAAGCCTGGATGGATGCTCTTGACCCAACATACTGCTGGGCTAAGAGGCAGGGAAATGAGAGGGATTCATTCAGGCCAAATCCACTTCAAGCCTGTTCCAGCCTTACGGCACAGAGGTTGTCCTGAGTTATGAGTCATTTCACTGCTTCACTAGCACATAGGCTGCCTTATGAGCCCCTGGGAGGTCAGAGGCAACCAGCACAAAATCTGCCCTCCTATGGCCAGGCTGGACTATAGAGTAGGACTGAGCCTGGCATATTACCTGTCTCATGATGTAAAGCGCAGCTTTTGCCTGAAAAATATGTATATCAAAATGACACTATCCAATGCAGTAGTGTTCCCTGGGCATACTGAAAGGCACACCTTCTTTGTTTTGTGACAAACGTTTTTTCAGCCTTAAAAGCAAACATGTAAAAATATGATTTTTGATTTCAGTTAAAGACATAAGTGCCAATACCGCTAATTTCAGTTCATTTCCCCAGCTTGGTGATATCCTGAAAGCTTCCCCGTCTATGGGGAGAGGAAGGATATGAACCATTCTAATTCATAYTCCGTAAGTGAAATGGTAAATAACTCAGCCTTTCACCTGCACATTCCCTCCAATGTATATGAAAGAGTAAGGTAGGAGGACTGGGGAGTTTCACTGGCGTAATTACAGCTATAGTTTGGCTTGAAGAATCTTTATTACACCAGCAGTGATGCCTGAGACAAAAAGAGAGGTTGGTTCTCTTTTCCCAGGGGGTATGTGCAGGGCAGACAAGAAAAGAAAATGTTACAGATGAACTGTACRGATTTTATTTGTCATCTATTGAGACATAATAAATGTGGAACCCTGCAAAGATATTTTTATAGTCAATTTCCAGGGTAGAATTTTAAGACCATTAACTACATTAGATTTATCATGTTCCCTGTTTATCGTTATTCTTTGAGCATTACAAGCATGCCTTTATTAATTTTGGATTAATAATGTATTTTTTATATTATGCGTATAAAATGCCTGGCAGGAATGTTAATTGTGGCCCCACTGTGAAAATAAGGAACCTACCAGGAAAAGTCGCAGCCTGATCGCAAAGCTGTACTGCAAGAAAATTGAAACCTGAATTGATTTATATAGTTTGTGTGTCAGAGCAAATAAATCTCTGGAAAACTGTCTCAACAAGTCTTTTTCATACTGTTGGTGTGGTAACATCCAGTCCTGTGCAATGAGGTTAGGGGAACCTTCGCCAAAAACTTCACAGCACACAGCATCCGACCCACAGTTCTTCCAGCTAAAGTCATAATAATAATACAAATCTTACCTCATAGTATCTGTCATCGTAGTCTTCTCTGCTCTGCAGACTAGACTTCATCAGTTCAGCGAGGCACATGCTGTTTGATGTTATGAAGACCACTGTAGCTAAAGCAAATAGAATAAATTTCTTGATTAAAAAGACTTTCATTTTTTTTTTTCTCAAATTAAGCTTACTTCAAGAGTTCACAATCTGTAGAGAAAAGGAAACTACCATCATTTTATATGATCAGAAAACAAAAAGAGATTTTGTTTCCTGTGACATCAGTCTCCAAAGCTCTATTCTTAATGTTAATTAGGGAAGTAATTTGAATATATTTGAACAATGTTGGGAATTTCTTTTGTGAACACTTTTAACCGACATAGCTTCTTGTTAGGGACACACTGACTTTGCAAATATTTTCCTGTAATGAAACATCTCTTAATTAGCCAGGTTTGAGAGCCATCACAGTGGGGATTTGCAGCAGTCACAATGTTCTGTTATTACATGGACACAAAACACCTTGTTTTGTGCTTTTTGTATCAGCCCCTTCAAAAAGACTGTGAAAGGAAACTTTCTTCCTGTAACTATTCTTTTTGGACCTTGTGATGTTTATTTCTTCAATACCTGCAGCTAGGGACATTTGCCACATTGAAATCAAGTGCTGCCTACTGAAGTTGTTGATCAAGTCCTGAAAGACATTATGCATCTATGAGAACTATTAATGTACATATTAATTTGTACTCAGACTGAATTATACTTTTAAAACATGCCCATATTAAAGTTTTTATAAGTTTCAAAAGGTCATGCTGGTTAGATATCCTTAAGGTCACATTCCTAATGACAGTTTTAAAGAAGGCATCTGCCACCTTGCTTCATGCAAGGGACAAGCTGTGTGTGTTCTGCTCTGGAAGGTGACTCATGTCACGAATGTGCCCTTAGAGGACATATGGAATCAGATGCTAGTTAGACTGGAGAGCTGGGATGTCATTAAAAAAGGCGTATTGTTTTGTTCTTCCATTTATTATTCTTAAATTCTTAGAAAGGTTGCCTAAAATTAATATATGAGTATTTAAAGTCAGCTGCGTAAGTACAAGAGTATTCATGGTAAATACCCCTACTGGAAACATGGACTTGAGACAGGTAATTTTGCAGTTCAGCACTAGGCATGTAAGATGTCCACTCCATCACAGCACCAACCAAGGTGTCCCAAGAGGACATATTTTATGCTTTAGGCAGCCCAGATAATATGGACTGTTTACCTGAAAGAGAAAAAAAAAAAAAAAAAAAAAAAGGAATTTTAAATAATTATCTGCCTAGGGGGGAATAATGACTTTTCCTTTCTCTCCCACAGTTTATTCCTTATCTAGTAGCACCAGGAGCAGCACTTCCTTCTTCTCCTTTGGATTGCCATGTCCCTGTTCCCCATGGACAAATGGGCTCTTTCTCCTCCAACACTTCCAATTACTAGGGGGATTCTGTAGGGTAGGAGCACAGTGTATCAGGGTGTCTTCTGGAAGATGATATGGGTAAGCAGCTGGAGAGGGACTTCCCTAAAGGGACCAGGTGAGGGGAGGGACTGGGGATGTGTTGCATGATGCCAGTTAGGGACCTTTTCTTTCCTCGTGGAGCTCCTGGCAGGCTGCTGTGAGACGGTGATAAACAGCGGGCTAGGTAGCCTCTGTGCCTGATGTGGTTGGTAAGTCTTGTGAAATATTCATCTTTTAGCCTGGTTCCAGCGCCATCCCACCTGCAGTCATTCCCCATTTTCCTTGCACGTGGACGGTGTGCCCGCCTTGGAGGGGTGATGGGTTTTCTCCCGCAAGCTCTCACAACTCTTAGGGATGAGTTGGGTGAAACCCCACCTCCGTCCTGGAGATAAGGACAGCAGGACATTCAGACCAGATGGCATGGGGGTGAATCTGCCTGACTGTATTTGAGGGGAGAGGTTTCACACCCTCCCAGAAGAAATCGGAAATCCCACTGGAACAGAGCTGGAAGCAGAAAGGGAAAAGTTTCAGGTAGATTTTTCCGTAGATTTTTCCCGGTAGAGAAGATGTGAAAGACTCTGTCCATTTGTTGTATGTGACAAGAGACCATTACATTATTAAAACAGACAGGAATGCTGTTAGTAACCTAATTAGGAGCCTCTGTGTGAAAAGGATGAGTTTTAATCAAGCACTGACTTTTGGGTGCAGCTTTCTCATATTCTTGTAGGCATTATTTACATATTTCTTCTTCATTTCTTTGCTTTGTGTAATCCTAATGGCTCTCACAACTGAAAAGGCTGCATTCAAAGAACTGGGACTTCTTCAAAAAACGACAGAAAAAAAAGAATGATGGAAAACTAAGCACAACCCAGCACAGTCTGAACAGGCAATGCTTCCCTTTTCATCCTCTGAGCCCTTTTTGCATGACGTTGTTTCACAGGGGGATGTGCTGRGTGGGGAGGGAAATCATATGAAAAAAGCTGTGCAGATCCATATTGACTCACTAGGAATGGCTGCACTAGGATGTGTGTAGGAAGAAGGAAACCAGTATCTGTCCTGAGTGTCCTGGGAATAGCCCTGGTCTTAGAATGGAGGACTTTTTTCCCCTCAAAATAAGACTTGTTGGGGTCACAAAGTTTTTTGGATACCAAAAGTTTTTGCAAATCTGGATCTAGTTCTTTAGAAAAGAGTGGGTTAAAGCAAGGTGTCAATTGAGAAAACCACAGAAGGAGGTGTCCCCTTGGAGTGAAGCCCTGTGTCCTCGTGGAGCCCTGGCAAGTTGGGGCAGGAGTTGTCTGTTTTCACCAAAGTCTTTGAATTGGGGCTCGCTGGAACATCATGTCATGGCCTTCCATCTGTGGGAACAGATGGATTTTTCCAAATGTATTTTTTTTATGATTACCATAAAGAAGATAATGAATGCAATTCATGTGCTAATATCTTTCTAATGTGTGGTCATTTACCATTGGGCTTTCCAGTTACATTGCTGCTGGACTGTGAGCCTCTCTTGCTCAGTGGTCTTCCAGTCAACTCGATGGAGGTGTTTGCTCTCTGTTAAAGGCAATTGGCAATTTCCAGAAAACTCTTGCATTATATGGCACAAGTACAGATTCTCTTTTCCCAAGATAGGACAGAAAATGTCTTGCTGTAAGCTGTACCAGACTTTCCTGATATTAAGTTTGCCTTCTGTCTATTGTCTCCTATATATGTTGATTTTTTTAATGCTATCATGAAGTTTTCAGATATGCTGTATGCCAGACTGTCAGAGAGTTGCAGAGGGTCTGTGCTTGTTGTTGTCTCTTCAGCCCTGCCTGTGGTGGTGCTACAGCAGGAAATCTTTGGAAACTATGAGTCAAGAKATTACCACAATTGCTCATTGTGTTTCCTAATGTGGGGCTTGTCACATCCGGAGCTCAAGTATCAGAATGGATCCCCCTCATCACCGTGACTGCAAAGTCAGCTGCAAAAGCTTAGACCACCTTCCATAGCAGCATAAGCTGCTGTCTTGGAACTGAGGCAGAAGAGGAGTCTTTTGAAGTGTTTGATTTAAGGAAGGGAGACGCATTAAGCTGGGCGTTAGCAGAATGGTGGCAACAAACAGTGTTGGAGCAGAGGGCTGTGTCCTCTTAGATTGCTCAATCCACAGAATGCCCGATTAATGTATGTGGGAGGATCTAAGCACTGTTGGAAACAGCTTTTGAGTTCCTAGCCCCTTGTCMCAGACTTGTTTTGTCCTGCTGTCTTATATCACTCATCAGCCAAACTATTCAGAGGACTTGACCATTACTGCTCAGAAAATTCCTGAAGAAATACATAGGAATGAGTCTTCCCATTGAGTGTGAACAGCCCTCCCAGGCAGGGACACTTTTAAGAGTCCCTACAGGTGCATGCTATAAATTAGCACAAGGTAGTTCTTTTTTCCTTCTTTTTTTTTCCCCTTCTTCTTTTATTTTCTCTCCACGTGGTGTAGGTGGGCTGAGGGAAAGCATTCCATCTGATCTGCAATGAGCTACTGCAGTGGCTTGATGTATATCTGCCTTTAAAAAWGGACATTAAAATGTAATTAGTAGCAATGGCATGAGTAGCTCAATTTCATAAGCAAGTCAATGCATAATAAGTTATTTGATTCCGGTGAAAGAACAAGTTTTAATATTGCTCCTTCTGTTTCATATAATAATATACTGATAAATCCTTATCCATTATTAACAGCATATTGTGTGAAAATTGCATTTTATAAGACTCATGTCACCAATAAGCATTTCCAGAATGATAAATCATTCATAATGCATTCATTTTGCCATTATGTGTTATAAAACCTATTTGATGGCTCATTTTGAAATAAGAGGATTTAAAAATATATACTTTTTTTTTTTTCATTGGCAAACAATCCCGTATATTTCCACCCATTCTTATGTCACTCAAGGGGTTGTGCTGGGTTTGCTGTGATGTGCCTGAGCTCTGGGACACAAACCAGCTTGCATTTGTCGGCCTGGGGTGCATACAGGTCTAAAAGCAGACAGTTACCCCTCCGTTGCAGGCAGTGTCCTGGTGGTGTGTGCATCTGCAGGCCTGATGTTCCTCTCCTGCCAATAACTAGTTCAGTGAGCAAAGACTCTGATGAAATGTGGTGTCCCGTGACTTTCTGGCTGAAAAGTAGATGCTAACGTGGCTTCTCTGAGGTGCAGGAAGGCTTAACCTTACTGTGGAATTCCTGTGTGAGTTGCATGACTGTCCTCTCTTGCTTTGGTTGTTATCATGAGATACAATTTCACTGACACCTCTCTCCTGCTGCCAAATTTCCACTGATCTTGGCTTCTGGATTTGATAGTTGTTAGGTGTGACTGACAGGTACGCGTGCACAGAGGAACAGATTTGCCTCATTTCATTCAAAAAGCAGCGACTCCACTGAAGCACCACAGGTATAAAGCCTCTAAATCTGTACCATTATTGTTGGGCATGGCGATMATTTCTGTCCTTGTTAATGAGGCCTAGCAGTTCTTTGGGATTGGGYGGGAGAATAGAGGAATTTACTATGAAAGCCCTTTCTTGATGTACTGTAGCTTGCTAAGGAAAAACAACCCCTGTGGAACTGCCCTTCCCGACTTTCCGAATCAGACTTTTGATTTTAAAGCAAGTTTTTCATCTAGATGTGTCTCTGAGCTTTCCTGTTAGGTTGGTGCTTATAAACAAAGGAAAAAT